TTATCTAAAGCTCAGAATGTCAAAGTTAGAAAATACATATTACCTATAAGCGTATTAAATGTAAAGGGACTTGCAAGAAGTTGACAACGTGGCCCATGGGGTTTACAAAATAACCGTTTTCAAGCTTAAAACTTACAATTGTGCTAATCTGTGTACCATTTACGTTGTATGCTGTATTTGGTTTTGTCATGACTTTCATATAAAATGTCCGTGTTTGTGTAATTATTTCGCATTTGAGTTGTGGAGTTTTAATAATATCAAAACTGCTCGTCTTCCTTTTTTAGTTCACCTGACCCAAAAGTTCAAGTGACCTGACCTATTCTAATCCGTCGTCTAACGCCGTCCGTTAACTTTTACAAAAATATTCTTCCCTGAAACACCTGAACCAATTGCTATAAACCTGGTCAAAATCACTATTGGGGTATATAGTTTCATAAATCTGTCCGATGATCCCGTCTACCAGACAACATGGCCAACAGGGCTCAAAATAGAACATAAAGCTAACATGCTAGTTTGTCTATTATCTTGAAAACCACAAAAGACAGAAGAAATCGGACATGAAAAAAATGTTCAGAATGTTGAAATCTACGTGTGTCCATTTATATCAAAACTGTCCGACGACTTTTGCCCTTAAATTGTAAAGTTTACCAATTTAGTTCATATTTGCCTATTATCTGGGAAATTATAATAGAGCGACAGAAAGTTTTAATAGCAAAAATGACCAGAAGGACAAGATGTACAACAAGCTCAGTATAGACGAAATGTCTGTTGACTCCTTATAAGAGTTATTTCCTTAAAATGACAATTCTTACACTTTTTAGTGTTTAAGCAAACGACTATAAAAGAGGGAATTATAAAAAAGTAAAACAGACCAGCAAGACACGATCAACAAATAGGTCAACAAAGCCAAAATAGGCAGTCAACTTCTTTTAGCAGTTGCTTCCCTTAATTGATACATGTACATGCATGTTAAAATGAAGATTGACTGACATATGAATATGAGTAGTAAATTGATAATAATGAACAAAATAAAACATTGTCACTTTGATTGACACGAAGCACTATATTTATCTTAGAAATAGCTCACAAATTTAAGAACGTAAGGTGTCGTTTTTTTTTTTTTTTTTTTTTTTTTTTTTTTCTTGTCAAATATGAATTACAAATAACATTGAGTTAATATCATATTTTGATTACTAATATAATACTATTTAAAAATTTCAATAATATAATATTCAAAGATAACGTAGATTATTTATAAGCAGTAATCAATATCAAGTTTTAACTTTTACATTGACCATATTTCGTAGTGGCAAATGGAATTAAAACTAATTCGCTCAAATACTAAATTCATTTAGCTAGGGAAAACATTTTCAACACTCGATGTTATGATCACTATACCCTGACAATGCTTATAGATTCGTGTTTGCTTAACGCTACATATGTAGGACTACACCAAACAATTCAGATGTCATTTAGAACTGAGGAGATAAGATAACGTACATTTCTTATCTATTTTTTAACTTGATGATATATTGATCGACAAATGCAATATAAAAGATGTATTTCAATCCGATAAATATTTTTTTTATGTAAGACGTAAAATTATCTATTATAATAGACACAAAATGACAACAGCTTGTTGATAAAATGAACGTTATGTTTTGTCATAATTATACATGCATATTCAGGAAAATAGACACTATCAGTGATAATGTGTTAATTGTATTTGTATGTACCTTACTTTGTGTTGAATCGACTGTGTCTCATTTGGAAAAAGGCTAGACTAAGTACTATACGGTATGGGTTTTTTCTCATTGTTGAAGGCCGTACAGTTGCCTATAATTGATTACATCCACTTCATTTGAACTTTGGTGGATCATCATAGTTGTCGCATTGGCAATCATACCACATCTCCTTGTTTTTAAATAGTTCATAGGATTCGAATCAAGAGGAAAATATGTCACTAGCTTTAGACATTCTATTCTGGATATTCAATTCTATAATCCCAATTATCCTGTATTGTTTAACTAAAACCATTTACTATGTATCTCAAACTTATTTCCCCCCAAAATAATGGTAAATGCAATGTCGTTTATAAGTATAACAGTATATATCGCACGAAGAGCAAATTAGAATTTGTATGTGCGCAATTTTTAAATCGACCCTAAGGGATTTATTTGGTTTTTTTTAAATCAAAGTGCATCAAAAGAGGAGATAACTCTTGCCAGAATAAACCATGTAGATGCAAATTGACTAAATATTAACAAAGGTTGCATTGTTGGAATTATATACAGTAACTGTTTGAGATTTTTCCATTGGACAATCACGGAGCTGATGAGACTCTGTAACTGAATTCATGAGAACGGCAACTGAATATCTGAAAAGAATATTCATATTTGGTAATAAATCAAATGTGTCACTGTCGACCAAAGTTTTGACTTATTATTTTTTTTTTATTGTATTTTCAGGTCCCGAAGAATGAATGTTGTGCGACTACTCCGACATAAATTATCGATTCCAATATTCTTGTTATTTCTAGTTGCAGTGCTGTGGTATTCTATTCTCCTGTTTGAAGATATGATAAGACCCCAAAACAGTGACACCGAGAATATGAATCTCTATGACGTAAAATTAAGAAAAGCAATTGAAAGTATGGACAGACCGACACGTGAACATATAAAACCTTTGCAACCACCAGATGACCATGAAATACCGCAAGAATCTCTGTATTTTATAGATAACGAATTTGAAAAGATAAATGAAAGTATAAATGCTCATAATATTAACTTATATGACAGTAAGCAGGAAGGAAAATACAATGGTGAAAATTTACACATTAAACCACCGTTGAAGGAGTTTCCAAAAGTTGATATCCTTGTCAAAGAAGAATTAGGTAATGCTTTCATCTTTTTAATTTATTCATTTGTTTTTAAAGTCGAATACTGTACAGTGGTAAATTATAAAAACCTAAACGTTTATAGTTGTGTATCCCTATTGTAGTCATTCTGTCATTCTGGTAAAATTTCGAATGAAGAAATGTAACCCAATTTAGAATCTTTTTATTTACGTTAGGATTCTTACGCCGAGCAATTTAGTCTACACTATTATTAAAAAAAATCCCGCCAAAAGTTTCATTTGACACATAGGGCATCCAACACAGGCCGTCCTTGTTAAGATACCTTAACGTAGAGACATGCGAAAGACATCTAGAACCCAACAAACGTTTTTCAACCAAATTAATTAAAATCCAAAGATAAAAACAATTAGACTTGAGTTACGTATAGAAACATGGATCATTGTAAATTTTTAAGTTTAGCTTTGTAAATTTAATAAGTGTAGATATAAATGGCAAAGACGAAGATGCTTTAAAAGCAATACTTTGCATTATATAAACAGACAGCACACACACACAAAAACAGAAACACGTACTGTGAAATAATACCATATCAAAGAATAATTGCATTTAGTGACTAGATGCAAGCTCAAACATAATCAGATTTCTGTTTACTAGTATAAGAAAAATGCTCTTTTACACTCTCATATCTGCTAAGTTTAACAAAATTGACCTTTCATCTAGATTATCTTTTTTTAATTTTTAACATACGATACACACAATTTTTTTATTGATTGATTGATCGTTGCGTGTTTATTGTCCAGTGGAAAGTATTTTATGCATAATAAGGACGATAGCAACTTAACAATTAATGCAATATATAGGTTCTGCAAGATAGGCCGACCGGGATGAAGGATTTGAAATCAATACTGCCACTGGAAATGAGGGTATGTTGAAAAGGAACATTTTTGTTGTTGCAACCGTCCTCTTACTGACCCCTCCGATAATTGTTCAAATGGTACTCTCAATTTATCAGGCATTGGATCCATGTCTCCATTTCGACAGGACGTGACTGTGTATGTATAAATCCCACGCAGCAAAACGAATGCTCTACTTTAGCAAGGTTTTACTGCCGAAACGGGAGAAATCCAGGGACGACAATAACTATATACCCCAATCAACCCTTAAAGTTTATTTTTTTAATAATTTAATTATAGATACATGTTAAAAATTAAAATAACATTTTGGCAAAATGAATAAACAACAATGTCTAGAACACGAAAGAGAATACTAGACCATTACGACTTCACAAAAATGTTATTCAAAATAACAGACAATCTAATTCCATAGACATGCATATAACTTTCAAAACCAATTATGTCTGTCGCAAAAGAGGAAGTGATATTTAAGCTGCGTTTGAAGAGTAAACATCTCTTCTGCTATAAAACAAATAAGTGAAGGGATTTTTGTTAAAAAATTGTTTTTAAAGTATATGAATACATCTATTTAAATTCTACGTTGTGATAAGAGGACTTGATTCATATTGCAGGAGAAAATGGAGAACCGGTCAACATTAGTAAACATTTATTAAATGAAGAAGAAAAGAAGGAATATAAAAATGGATGGAAAAATAATGCATTCAATGAATATCTCAGCAACCGCATCTCACTGAATAGAACTCTGAAAGACCAAAGAGATGAAAAGTAAGTACGACTGAAATTAAATTTGAGAACGGAAATGTGTGTATTTGTCAACGATGCAGCACCCCTATGATACCAATGCAAAAGCAAAAGATCAACTTTCTGTCTTTAACAATGATAAAGTGTCCAAACATATGTCAAGCTTTACAACTAGAAAAGAAAAGTTGTTAATAAATTTAACTGGATTTATCAAGATCTTTCTGAACACCAAATTCGTTAAAAGACAAAAGAAAAAACATAGCAGAGATCACCACTAATAAGGTTTTGGTCGTGGAAACCGATTTATTTCAAGATTCCGAGATTTTAAACAGGAATGTATCATCAATAAAGCACTGGCATTGTAAAGAATCAGAATTTGAAAATAAACTTGTAATAGTGCTGCTGCAGAAGATCCCCATACTACCTTAAGACCCTTACCGAAGTGTGTGCCATGTACACAACAAAATTTAAAACATGTTCTCAAATTAATGTTAATTTCCAGGTGCAAACTTATCAAATATCCTGAAGACCTACCTGACGTCAGTGTAATCGTTACATTCCATAACGAGGCTTGGTCTGTGCTCCTACGATCCGTCCACAGTATTATCAACAAAACTCCTAAGCATCTGCTCAGAGAAGTGATATTAGCAGACGACTGCTCTGATATGCGTGAGTCATCCTTACTGCATATAAAAATAAGAAGATGTGGTATGATTGCCAATGAGACAACCTTCCACCAAAGTTCAAATGAAGTGGATATAAGCAATTAAAGGCAACCGTACGGCCTTCAACAATGAGAAAAACCCATACCGTATAGTCGGCTTTAAAAAGCATTGACATGAAATATGTAACAATTCAATTGAAAAAACAAACGGCCTAATTTATAACAAAACAATTTACGAAAAACAAATATGACAAACATGATTCAACGACAACCACTTAACTACAGGTTGCTGCCTTGGGACAGGCACATGAATAATGTGGCAGGGTTTAACATGATGTTTAAAGGCACCAACCCTAACCCTGGACATTGGTTTAACTGTACAACATAAGAACAAACTATAAAAATCAGTTGCAAAGAGCTTAACTCATTAGATCGATACAAATCAGAAAAAAATATCTAACAAAAACACAAAACGGAAAGACAAACAATTGCACACAACAATTCATAGACAACTAATAAAAGACTGATCAATACGAACTTCTTCCTTTCTATAGCTCGGGTGATGTCAGGTGCTGCGAAAGGGTAGATAGATCATGTTCTACTAAAGGCACTTTTGTTGTTCATGGTAAGTGCAATGATGGGTCTAATTCGGTGACACCGATTTTCCATAACGGTCAACTATCTCGTGAACTCTTTTAATAATTGAAATTATATCGTATTACATTGTCAGCAGAACGACGTTGAATTTACCTTAATTTGTGATGTAGAACATAATCATGCTATCACATGGGTATTTTTTCTAATAACATGACTCAAAAAACAGAACGGTCTTAGTATGAAGTTTGAAAAACAAACAAAATTTTCCAACATAATTCAAACATCTGATTTCTTTTGATTTCTTTTGAAAAAAACGGACAATGACCAAACCTCCATAATGATCACATTGGTTACACATACATGTAATCATAATTGTTACATGTATATAAAATAATCAACAACTGAGATCAAAGAAAGGCTGGTCAGGTTATCGATAACAAAAAGAAAAAAATACGAAAGCATTGAAAAACACCAAACATGCATTCTGAAGCCCGCCTCCGGGTGCGATATTTCCTCGCTGTGTTGAAGACCCATTGGCGGCCTTCGGCTGTTTTCTGCTCTTTGGTCGGGTTGTTGTCTCTTTGACACATTTCCCATTTCCATTCTCACATTCCCCATTTCCGTTCTCAATTTTATGGTAAAATTACGTAGCTATTAAAACTGAAACAGAGACAAACATTGATGAATATAATAATATAGGTTAGATAAATTAGCTGATTTACGGGTCCCAACGTTATGGAGACAAATGTTCAAATTCAAAATAAATCGATAATATGTAGGTGTGAAACGTGTCCAACTTCCAATACATTTGAAAATGTTCTCTATTCCTCGAATACAAATACAAACTTACCACCAGACTAACAACCATTAAGATGACCATTTACTCCAACACAGAACAAAGCAATAAGTCGGCACGTTACACTGAAACAAAACATATTCAAATGCGTTCTTTTTATTCTCTACACTATTAATTGGTAAATGTTTCTGGTGGTTGCAAACATACACTCTCATGTAATAAATAAAAATAGTATGTTAAAATGCATCAACGCATTTTTTTAGGTGTGTAAGAATTGAACAAAACTCAATAAGCGTCCACCTTCTCGAATAATTCATGTGTTGGTCAATTTTCAGCTCACTTAGGAGAGCCATTAGAAAAATATTTTGTGGACTACCAAAAGGTAAAAATTGTGAGAGCTACAAGTAGGGAAGGTCTTGTAAGAGCTCGACTTAGAGGATACCGAGTTGCAACAGGAGCTGTGCTGGTGTTCTTAGATTCACACATTGAATGCACTGAAGGTATAGAATGTCCAACATGTATTGAAAAAATACGAATGTATGGTATAATTGCAAATAAGACATCTCTCCGCCAAAGACAAATGACGTAGCTGTTAGCCCATATAGGTCACCGTATGGTGTTCAATAATGAGCAAAACCGATACCTCATAGGAAGCTACAAAAGGCCTCAACATGAATATGTAAAAACATTTTGAACAAGAAAACCAATAACTTGATTTATTTTTATTTCAACAAATGAAAAACCAATCAGACCATTGTTGTTTGAATGCAACATATATCTTTGCATGACAACAGCTATGTACCTTTGACGAAGAAAAAAATACGTTTTCTTTTACTTATTATAGAAGAGAGACTACTTATCATTCGAGAGCATTTTAAGTCACTTCATTTGGTCTGTGTTCATGGAAATAAAGTGCATGTGTAACATGAATGAAAAGAGATGTGGGGGAAAATATAAATAAAACAGAAGAAAATAACCAAAGTACTTCTAGAATTCAATATATCATTTTTCTTGGGATCATACCTTCTATGCGTATTTCATGTATTTTTCATCGCACTAAATATTCATGTTTCTTCTTTTCTTTTTTTTTAGGGAAGTTGCATTATGGATTCATTTTAATTTAAATTTTCCGAAACACATAAAAATATTAGGGTCGTACAGGCATAATACTTTTCTGATCTCTTCGAAATCAGCAAATGTTGCTAAAAATATATCATTTATTTATTGACTTATCAGCTTTACGTCCCGTGTGAAATGTTCATTAATATAAAGGACGGCAAAAAATGTTAAATTCTGCGAAATTATCACAATGCCATTGCATTGCAAAAAAGAATCGTAATGTAGGTTAAGAAAATTATGCCTTAAAAAGACCATCTAAGGAAACGTCACAGAGATGGTGCAATGCGTCTTTGTATTTTATTACATCAACCGAGATACTCTCTAAATACAGAAGATCGTATTAATCGTCAGGATCTTGACAGGACGTTTAACGCATATTGTATATTAAAGATATAATAAATCGTCAACGTTTTATGATCAACCACTTCTGATTATTCTCTGTTTGAATTTATTAATCTATTTTAGACTTTAACATATTTCATCTAACCTTCAATATCGATCAGTACATTCTTTTCGTTTCAAACCAATACCACGGAAGGGATACATGTATCTGCATGAAAATACGATGTACACGTGAATAAAATTAAGATAAAACTAGAGATCATTGCTGTGCGTCATGAGCAGTACCGGAAAAAAAGAGGGGCGAAAGACACCAAAGGGGCAAAGTTGGAAACTAACCTACAATGCCATGGCGAAAAACGAAATACAACGGAAAGACAAACAACGATATACAAAACAAAACATCGAAAATTAAAGACTGCATGAGCAACACAAACCTTACAAAAAAACCGGTGGTGATTTCAAGCTCTCCGGCAGGGTAAGGAAATGTAATCCTGTTCATCATGTGGCACCTGTCGTGTTGCTCGTGTATGTACAAACCCGGAGACAAATCTAATTCGGTAGGTCACATTGGAGGAAAATAGGATGGGATTGGGGTTACGACAATTTGAACATATTTGTCGTCATCTCTGAAACAGATATTCCATAACGGTCAACACTCCGTAAAATAGACGAAAGGATGATATTAACCTCCCCACTTGAAACTCTTGGTTCTTTAGCTTCCTTCTGAGCAGCAATCATATATCTAGGAAATCGTGATAGGAAATGCAAGCTCTGGAACATCGTATCAGCTGGTAGATATATACTCATGATGTCAGACATCAATTAGTAAACGAAATCTAAAAGTGATAACATATGTTGTCCATTTGTTATTTTGTACCAGAAATTCACCACAACCGAAAAGTAGTTCATGTTGTATAATTTATAGGATGAATATTTACATGATCAACAATGGTCTCCCTTTGATATCGATGCATCTGGCAAATCAAATATCTTAATCGGAGAAAAGGAATATCTCGCAAGAGTTGAAAACTGAGATTATTTATATGTGAAAGGTGGTTTTTATGTTAAACAAGTACTTAATTTTACGTTTTCGAAATGTCTTTTAAACTTATGTTCACTCTTTGGCTAAAATTACTTGAAAAAAAAGCTTTAACTTTTTTTAGGCTGGATTGAACCTATGTTGGATAGAATAAGCAGAAACTGGACGACTGTTGTTACTCCTTGTATAGATGTTATTGATGATGACACTTTTGGCTTCCGGTTCCAAGGTGCTAAAGATATGTTTGCCGGGGGATTTGATTGGAAAATGGTTTTCATTTGGCATTCTTTACCGGAAAATGAACAGAAAAGAAGAAATTACGAAGATCATTTGCCGTACAGGTACATGTACACCAACTAATAAAATGCTTGAATAACTCAACGTTATGTATTAAACATTTTAAGATTTGACTGTTATAAGCAAAATATAAATGCTTCAAAACTGATTCCTTATAAACATTCCAAAATATAAATTTTTACGAGGGACTCTAGTGATTTCATACATGTCTTATGTAATGTATGAAGAGTACAATCTTTGGTATTGGGATAATTTATCCAAAGTAATCTTTTTATGAACCCAATCATAAAACCATATTTATATGTTTTCCTCCTACATGTTTAACTTCATTGATTGTTGCTGTTGTCATGAGTTGTCGTCGAGGTGATTCACAGTTATCGTGTCGTAAAATACGTATTGTAACACGTTTGATGTGTATCATTTTTTTAGGAAAAGTATTGTAACATGTAAAATAAATATTTTTATGTGAAAATGCTGTAACGTTTTTAAAAATGTAAATGCTTACGCTACAAAGTGTAGCAGTTAAAGGAAGGTGTTAAAGATATATAAGAGCATTGCAACATATATTGAAATACATTTAACATTTACAGTGCTTGACAGGCAAATGTAAGGATTTTATGAGGAAAACTAATTAACCTTGGTCATCAAATAGTTCGCCCTTGAGTATCGATATATCACTAAAGAGACATACATTTTCAAAATGCTACGCTCTCTGCACGTTAAGAACCATAACAACAACTCTTCATGAGGGTTGCGAAGGTAGCGTGTTACAAGGCTAAATTTATATCCCTATTCCAATGTACCCTCTTTTGCCAATGGCAGTCTAAATACTCAGCCTTTCATCCCGGTCCATTACAGGGCCGATTGTATGTGTATGAGATATTTTCCACTGGACATAAAGCAAACGACAATCAACCCTGAGAATATTGTAGCTATAAAAGAGGGGCGAAAGATACCAGATGGACAGTCAAACTCACAGATCGAAAACAAACTGACAACGCCATGGCCAAAAATTAAAAGACAAACAGACAAATAATAGTACAGATGACACAACATATAAAACTAAAGACTAAGCAACACGAGCCCCACCAAAAACTGGGGGTGATCTCAGGTGCTCCGGAAAGGTAAGCAGATCCTGCTCCACATGTGGCACCCGTCGTGTTGCTTATGTTATTACAAATCCGATAAATAGTCTAATTCGGTAGGTCACATTCCTGAAATGGGAAGGGTATTGTAGTTACAACATAAGGAACATATCCGATATCATCTGTGAAACGGTTATTCCATAACGGTCAACCAACTCGTGATGGCGTCCGTAAAATTTACGAAGGAGCTCATGTTTACATGTCTTTGTAGGTCTCCAACAATGGCTGGTGGATTATTTGCGATCAGTCGTGCATACTTTACTTACATTGGAACATATGATGACGGAATGGACATATGGGGAGGTGAAAATCTAGAAATATCATTTAGGGTTTGTTATGTATTAAATGTTGACTCTTTACATTGCCATCATTAAGAGACAGTTATCAAAGTCTTTGAATTATATTATCAGAAAAACAAGACAAAGTGAGAAAACTCATTTGGTCGAGTGTTGTGAAATTAAAAGGATAGATGTTAAATTTCTGCACCCTTATTAAATGTTTAGAGAAGGTTATTGATTTCGTCGTATCATTACACAGAATGTGATCACATTCTCTTCTTAAACTGCGAGGTATGATAAACGTTGTTCGTGCATTTGTTACTTTATTCTAACTTTTTTCGATTTCATTCTGTTTCCCCTATTTTTTGGGAAAACACCTCCTCAAACATACTAGGCTTATAATTTTGAACGCAATACGCGCGTTTCGTCTACAAAAGATTTATCAGTGACGTTAGTATCAAAAAGATTAGGAGGACACCTAAATTACGAAATTGAAAAGCATTGAGGAACAAATATTCCGAAGGTTTTGTTAAAGCCATCTAAGCAATACATGCTTACATTCTTTGGAAAAATATGATATCGCCAAAATGCTCAAGCTTGACTTTTCCAATTCGTTCTTAGCTGAATACTCTTCAGAACCCTTTAAGTCATTTTGCTCTTAACGTTTCCATGTACTTCTCATCGTTGGCTTTCAAATGTTTTGTGTATGAGGTTTTCCTGATGCAGGTAAATCCAAGAGAGCGTTTCGAACGCACTAAATGTTTCAAATGTTATTTTCAATATATATTAAAGTACATACATACTTTTCTATAAATCACCTAGATGTTTGTCACGAGTATAGTCGAATTAGGGTTCAGTGGCGCATCCAGAGGTGGGGTTAGGGGGTTGAACCCCCCCCCCTTTTTTTGGACGATCAATGCATTTGAATGGGAAAATATGGTTGGAACACCCCCTTTATCCTGGGTTGGGAACCCCCCCCCCCCCCCCCACTTTTTGAAAATGGCTGGATCTGCCCCTGTACCCGGGCCATTCCTTATTGTTAATTTCATGCTAATTATAATGTTTCAATTGTAGATATGGATGTGTGGTGGTACGTTAGAAACAACACCATGTTCTCATGTCGGACATATATTCAGGAAACGATCCCCTTACAAATGGAGAAAAAATGTTGATGTAGTACGGAGAAATAATATCCGTTTATGTGAAGTGTGGCTTGATGAGTATAAACAGTACTATTACGACAAAATAGGCATACAAACGGTTAGATATTTTTTAATGTTTTGTTAGACATCAGGTTAATGGGAAACAACTCTTAAATTCCACTGGTCCATTTGTGTCAACTATTTTCCTAAATATCATAAGCTTCATATTAGGGATTTACGCAAATTCTCGGTACCGACTGTTTACACCAACTTTGACAGGCAAAATAAAGGGGATCGTCTCAAAATAAAAAAAGTACGAAGCAATTAGCATTTCAAGGTATACATGTATGTTGCAAATAACTGTTAAGCAAGATTTTTCACAATGATTTATTCAATTCAATTAAGTTTGTTGTCTGTTCAAAAGTCCTGCACAATTCTCCACAATATGTCTCAGCTTTTGTCTTGTATGCCTCCATAAAGGTTTTCGATTGATATAAACATGAGGAGATTTGATTTGATTGTTAATGAGACAACTATCCACCAGAGTTAAAATGAAATGGTAGTAAGCAATTATAGGCCACCGTACGGCCTTCAATAATGAGATACTGTATAGTCTGATATAAAAATCCCCGATAGGAAAAATGTAAAACAGTTCAAACGAGAAAACTAACGGCCTAATTTATAACAAGACAATTTACGAAAAATAAATATGACAGACATGAATCAATGACAACCACTATGCTGTGAGCTCTTGACTTTGGACAGGCACATAAAGAATGTGGCGGGGTTGAACATGTTTGTAAACGCCGAACCCTTCTCTAACCCGAGACTGTGGTTTAACAGCACAACATAGTTGCGCTTGGGTTTACTCAAAAGACGTATACATGGCATGGTAGTGACGATGACTAGAAAAATACAGTTCTCGCGGCTAATCTTGTGGCCTATGGTATTCTATTCCACCGACGGCGGCAGGGATATAAGTCCAAATATCGCGTTTTATGCTCAATTCGTTCCGAGCAGGCCACTGCTCTAACGACTCCAAAGGTCTTTGTGGTATTGGTATGTTTTAATTTATGCTTTATTTGTGGCAACATTAACGTCGAAAATCAACGCGAGAACATGGTATGATGAATATGACTGAAACCACCATATATACAATGTAACCTGATTTTTGTGAGATAATTTGTAGGGTCTCTTAGTATCTCGTGCAAATAAGTCCTTGACAATCTGCAGAATATCTAGCATGTTTCAGGGGTTTCGCCGGTTGCAAGATATGTGTCTATAAAATGTTTTTTGCTACCGTCGTTTACTCAATATATATGAGAAAATAGTGGAATTTGTAAAGCTTTATGATGGACAGATTGAGATTGAAGAATGCATTTAATATCAAAAATAAGATATAACGTACAATGTCTAGTCTTAAAAAGTATTTGAACCCACAATGGTATATAGAAATGCTCTTTGTCCACTATAAAAACTATGTCTAACAGCCCTATCCAATTTTCAAAATGGCCATCGCAGCCTTCGAGCGGTCGACTTCTCTACTAAAACTACTAAATGTCGGCTCGAAATTAGATAGTAGAAATGCTCCTGGGACTATCATCTACCAAAACTGAGACTGATTATTCCGACAAATTTTAAAACATAGCCACCATGGCCTATGATCGATTGATAGATTTTCGTCAAAAACTATATTATCTCTGGGTTGCCGTATTTCCAAATTGTTTTCGATGGCCCATGAAGGTTGTCTGATTGGCCCCTTCATACTCTAATTGGTGTCGACAGATTTTTAGGTAATTTGCTTCTCCCCTACCCCCTACAACCCCCCCTTTCATGGGTTAACCACCCATATCTCTATTTTCGTGTCTGTGGATCTGTGGAACAGGAAAATATATCTAACGGAAAACTGGATTTTTCATTTGTACACAATGGCAATGTAGGTGTAGAAAAAAATCATTATCTGGCTTCATATACATATGTATGAGCTTGACTACATATCCGATTTAGGGGCTCCGATATAAATGTTCTGTTACTGAATATCTGGACTCAAATTTTCCTGCTTATTGTCGATAGAGTGATATTATGCTTCGTCCATGGGACTCTAGTTTTATTTGCACAAAAATACCGTATGAATCAAGTGCGCCGTTAAAATCACATTTGAGATGACCCCTTTCATTTTATCTGTCAAAGTCGGTGTCAATAGTCGGTACCGAGACTTTCCGTAAATCTCTACTGACACATGTACAGAATATGTTAATTTTTAGTCTCATGAATATTTTGACAGCATTGAAGAAACTGAAATTACCTCCTTATATTGTATGTGTTTAGTCTCCACATGTTTCTTGTGAAGCCTATTAAAAAGAGATATTAATTGTACAAACTTAAATTGGTGTTATAGGTTTATAGTTCTATCATTTGGGACGATTCTATCAGTCTGTGTGTACCTTGTTTTAGTGGCTAATGCCTTGACACTATTGTAAGAGGCGGAAGGACTTAGGCATTTATTTTTGCGGGATTCTGGATTTGGCCTTTACTTTCGCGGGAATTTGGGATTTACCCTTAACGGGACTCGGGAATTAATGATTGTTTTTTTTTTTCGGATCCGGAAAAGAATGCTTTATTTCCCCCTCCATCATGATTGAAACTATACACGTTGAATGTAAGTATCAGTATCTAATTCTAATTAAACTGAACCTCTTTAGAACCTATTTAGTCACAAATGTCCTTAACAGATTTTCAATTTCAATTTGGTGTTTTGTTAAGGCCTTTTAGTATCAGTGTATTTGCATTGATTTACATATGGTTTGAATCAGTTACCGAGTTCTCTTTCGATTATTTTCCCTGTGGTATATTCAAGCCAAATGTTCTCCGTCCGTTAAACTTTCATGTCTATTGTACTGACGTTGTTTATCATCTTAATTGCGTGTTGTAGTATAGGTTTCTTTTGATTTGTCTTTGTATATTAATAACCTTTACTGTTTAGTCCAATTTTGTTAATATCTTTTTGGCGTGGCTCGGTATTTATACATCCCGCCATTGTGTTATTGTGCTATAGTCATTTTTTGTTTTCTTGTTTTTCATTTTTTGCTTATGTGCTTTGTCTATAGAGTGTCTACATGCCTTTTTCTTTTTCTTTGTTGACATAGTTGTTTGTTTTATAATGATTAAGATAATAACACAATGTTGACTGCTGTACCCCAATTTTATGACATTTCTACCTATTAAATATTATATTATTTGTTTTACTCACACTTTGTTGTCGATATAATGGAATTTTACGCGACTGTCATACAAGTGAGAAGTTTCGCTAGCTATAAAACCAGGTTTAATCCACCATTTATTGCCATTTGTTAATAAGGGACTTTCCGTTTTGAAATTTTCCTTAGAGTTCGGTATTTGTGTTATTTTACTTTTTGTTTTCCCTATAACGTTCGTTTATCTTCACTTAAAATCAGTATAAGAGTTGAAATCTTGCTGTACCTTATATTGTTCTAAATTTTCTATTAATTCAATTATATGCTTTCAGTTCTTGGTGGATATGTGAGCCTCAAAGGGATAGTGTGTTGATTGAATTAATTATGATTTGATTTTTGGTGTTTTAACGCCACTTTTAAGCACCACTTTTAGGCTGTTTCGTGGTGGCCAGTTTTAATTGGTGGAAGAAGCCGGAGTGCCCGGAGAAAACCACCGACCTTCGATAGGAAAACTGACAATCCTAGTCAATTAAGATTGGAGTCGAGTGCACCCGCACGAGCGGGGTTCGAACTCACAACCTCAGTGTTGACTGGATAGTGATTACAGTAGTAACTACTTAGACCACTCGACCACCGAGGCCCCGAATTAATTATGATCTTAATTTTATCCGTATATATATTAATATATAAACACATAGATATCTTATGGTTGCCAGTGAGACAACTCTCCACCATATAGCAATTAATGAGGTTGAAAACAATAATAAGAGTCTCACGCTTTACGACCCGTTAAACAACAATAAAAGTCACTACCATATGTTCGACATGAAATTTCCAGGCATGAGAAAGGAGGAACAAAATATAATCAATTTAAAGAGAAAACAAACAACGTGATTTTGTCTTAAACACAACAAAAAAAAAACACAAAGAAGACAGACAGATCCAACGACCACCGCTGAATAAATTAATGATACGAACTTAGGATAGGCACAAACATGATGTGGTTGAGCTAATATAAAAATAGGTACATGTAGTATGGATGCCAATGAGACAACTATCCACCAGAGAGAGAGTCTAAATGCGGTGAATGTGAGCAACTATAAGTCATTGAATGACTTTCACCAATGGAAAAAAACCAGTAAACATGACTTCTTTTAAACTTAGTTTTACTGTGCGTATTGCTTTGTGTTTGTTTATTCAACATTGGCTAGAGGTATAGTGGGAGGGTTGAGACCTCACAAAACATGTTTAACCCCACCGCATCTTTGCGCCTGTCCCAAGGGGGTCTCCCCGATATTCCGACACCCCATTGGTCTTTCACCCCTTAGTCCGACGCCCCATTGGTCCGACAGCCCATTAGTTCGACACCCCATATAGTCCGACAAAGGTAAATCACTGTGGTAATAGAACATCTTCTTAGAATCATTATTGACGTGGTATATGAACAACTCTTTCTTATAAGAAACGGAAATAGATAATATATTTTTTTACCATGCTACCCATTTGGTTTTTAAGAAATACCATGACCATAGTACATGTATATTCAAGCATGATGATTTCTAGTCATCTACACTATACACGAACGTATAGATCAAAACTGAAAGATGTGGAATTGTTAATTGACTTTATAATTGAAAATTAGTGAATTTAAAAGTTTGTTAGTAAAATTAATCAAAAGATGATGATTGGTTCAATATATTAAGACTTTGTTGAGGTTGAAACTTCAATAAAACGGATTAAATTTGCTGTCAGAATGTATTGAATAGCAATGAAACATTTGCCACTGGACATTAAAATTATGGTTGTGAGCCCTCAACATCCCTTTACCTTAGATGTTAGTGTATATATAGAAGCGACCAATGAATACGTTTTACTTACAGCTACCGGAATACGGTAACATAACCTCAAGAATTGAACTACGAAAGAAATTGAAATGCAAAAGTTTTGAATGGTTCCTGAAAAATGTTTATCCTGAAATGTGGGTACCAGGTGAATCATTGGCATATGGACAGGTATAGTATATGTGCACTTATGTATATGTAAATGACTGCGATGAAGATCGGAAACACGACCTGTCAAATTTATGTTGTACTCAGTGTTTTTGATAGATTAAGTGGTATTTCAATATAAAATAGTAATTGTATATTGATTTTAGTCGATATAAAAGAAAATTTGATTTTTCCATTACAAATTTAAAGATCAGCAACAAGATGAACGTCATCAGGCATGTGTCATTTTTAGGGGATAAAAGCAAAAAGAGGAACAAACAAATATTGTCATAATTGAATTTGACTAATGGACGAACTGAGATGCAATAAACTAAAATTTGCTTTGTAAATATAAAAAAAAAAAAAAAAAACAACAACCTTTGGAGGAAAGTATATAATCTTTTACTAATAAAAGAAACGAACTTGATAATTTGCAAATTTTCTACTAACGTACAGAAATCTATTATGTATTATGCATAATACTACAAAGTCAAAATGCCTGTATTTAAGGATGTACTTAGGTGAAATTAAAAAAATCTAGAATTTAGAATTGATACTATAAGTCAGAAGAGCATTAGTTAAGGAACAAAATAAGATAAAAATATTGATAGGTTATGGAGCTCCTTTTCGAGCTATTTAATTTTTTTAAAATGGCGGGAAAAGGCTGACTCGGACTTTTACCTTATATTTTCGTTGGTATTATTTGGGTCTCAAATCGAAAGAAAAGAAATCTAGAATTTGTAGTAATTGGACTACTTGGACCACTCGGGCACCAATGCCCCCATCATCGATTTAGTAATGAAAAGTACAATCACAAAAATAATACATCTAATGAGCTTATCAACTACGTCTTATTTTGACCTGACTCAAGCTAGCAGCCACTCGCTAGCATCCACTACGCTAGCAGCCACTTTTAAGATAAATCTAAAAACCAAAAAAGATGCATAAGATTCAAACTCAACAGAATTGTTTTTTAAAATACATCAAACTATGCAATTGTAAAATTATGAAAAAGAAGATTTTAATGAAGAATTATATATTTTAATTGCCTTTTCAAAAGTGAAAACAAAAGTATACATGTGCCTCATCGAAGTATAATGATAACTACGTGATAACCGAATCGTCCAATTGTCTTGCTCATTGTAAGGGTTATAAATAGGCCTTTGATTGCCGTAGGTAATTTTTAACATAATTTGAAAGATGGGGTGGAGTGAGGGATAGACATGATTTAAGACACTTTAGACATAAGTTTGGTCCTCTGGTGAAGACAAACCATGAGTTATCCCACCTGGGCCTTTTGGTCCAATAGACCTAAAACCTTTACCTATCATTTGCACATAGTGTGTAAAAAAGTATTGCCGTAGGGAATTTTTGACAGACCTTGAAAGATGGGGGATAGGCATCTAAGACTCTTTAGACCTAAGTTTGGACCTATGGTGAAGACAAACCGAGTTGCACAACATGGGCCTTTTGGTGCAATAGACCTAGGTGAAGACAAACCATGCGTTTTCCCACCTGGGCCTTTTGGGGCAATGGACCTTAGACCTTTACCTATCATTTGCACCTAGTGAGTAAAAATGTATTGCCGAAGAATTTTTGACAGATTTTGAAAGCTGTTGGGGTAAGTATCTTAGACTCTTTAGACCTGAGTTTGGACCTATGGTGAAGACAAACCATGAGTTGTCCCACCTTGGCCCTTTTGGTCCAATGAAACTTAGACCTTTAACTATCATTTGCACCTAGTGTGTAAACAAATTATCGCCGCAGGGTAGGCATCTTAGACTCTTTAGACCTAAGTTTGGACCTATGTTGAAGACAAACCATGAGTTGCACCACCTGGGCCTTTTGGTGCAATGGACCTTAGACCTTTATCTGTCATATGCAACTAGTGTGCAAACTGGCCAAACTAAGAGATTCTCAACGTGGGCCATGATAACAGAGGTAGAGGTAGGCATTGCGTTTAAAATGGCCCATAGCACTTATGCCCTAGACCCGTACGAGTTTGTCAGTAAAGGGTAGGGGGAGTACCCGGTATATCTCAAAGTGAAAATTAACTAATGCCGGCTATCCATACTAATGGTATTAATATTGATTTTGTTATCAGTAAATTAAAATCAAACTAAATATTATTGTTATATACATATGCACATTCATTGCTCTACAATCTGTCGATACCTGTATCTTGGCATTGCACAAGGTCATGTTTTTCTCTGACTGTTTATGACGTCTTTACACTTAATCCATTGGATGTTGGATGTGTACTGATTGATAATTTAGACTTAGATGCATGATTTTTTTCATTAGTTGTTATTGGCTTTGATCTAGCTGCCAGTAACTGCGAGTACTCTCAGATCTGTACTTAGTGTCTTTTTGTTGTTTGGATGTACAAGTACCCGTCCACGTCCACTCTGTGTATTTGTTAGATGTATTTCTATTTGCATCCATCTGATGAGTTAACCCTTTTTCAACTGATTTTTATAGTTTGTTCTTATGTTGTACTGATACACCACTGTTCCAGGTTAGGGGTAGGGTTGGCGCCTTCAAACTAGTTTAACCCCGCCACATGCTGTATGTGCCTGTAATTCAGTGGTTGTCGTTTGTTGCTGTGTTACATATTTGTTTTTCGTTCATTATTTTGTACATAAATTTGGCCGTTAGTTTTCTCGTTTGAATTGTTTTACATTTGTCATTTCGGGGCCTTTTATAGCTGACTATGCGGTATTGGCTTTGCTCATTGTTGAAGGTCGTGCGGTGACCTATAGTTGTTAATTTCTGTGTCATTTGGTCTCTTGTAGAGAGTTGTCTCATTGGCAATCATACCACATTTTCTTTTTTATAAGAGATTATCCACGTAGGCAATTATACCAGAGGTAGAGGTAGGCATTGCCTTTAAAATCGTCCATAACACGTATGCCCTAGGCCCGTACAATTTTATCAGCACAAGATTAAAAAGGGGGGGGTGTACCCCGGTATATCTCAAAGTCAAAATTAACTATTGCCGGATAGCCAAACTAAGAGGTTGTCCACGTGGGCCATTATACCAGAAATTGAGGTAGGCATTGCCTTTAAAATGACCCATAGTACTTATGCCCTAGGCCATTTTTTAGAGGCGAGGTAATGCCTACTTCTACCTCTGGTATAATTGCCCACGTGGAGAATCTCTTAGTTTGGCCAGCCGGCAATTATAGTCAAATTGGACTATGTTTCATACTGGGTACCCTCCCCCCACCCAATGCTGACAAACTTGTACGGGTCTGGGGCATACATGCTATTGGCCATTTTTGAGAGGCAATGCCTACCTCTACCTCTGGTATAATGGCTCACGTAGAGAATGTCCTAGTTTGGCCAGCCGGCAATACTTAATTTTGACTATGTGATATACCGAGGTAACACCTCCCCCCACCTTATCCTGACAAACTCGTACGGGTCTAGGGCATAAGTGCTATGGGCCATTTCAGAGGCCATGCCTACTTCTACCTCTGGTATAATTGCCAACGTGGAGAATCTTTGAGTTTGGCAAGCCGGCAATAGTCAAATTTGACTATGTTTCATACTGGGTTCCCTCCCCCACCCTATGCTGACAAACTCGTGCGGGTCAAGCGCATAAGTCCTATGGGTCATTTTAGAGAGGCAATGCCTACCTCCACCTCTGGTATAATGGCCCACGTGGAGAATCTCCTAGCTTGGCCAGCCAGCAATACTTTATTTCAACTATGTGATATACCGAGGTAACACCCTCCTCCATCCTATCCTGACAAACTCGCACGGGTTTAGGGCATAAGTGTTATAAGCCATTTCAGAGGCCATGTCTACCTCTACCTTTGGTATAATTGCCCACGTGGAGAATCTCTTAGTTTGGCCAGCCGGCAATAGTCAAATGGACTATATGACACCCTCCCCCACCCTATGCTGACAAACTCGTACAGGTCTAGGGCATACGTGCTATGGGCCATTTTAGAAAGGCAATTCCTACCTCTACCTCTGGTATAATGGCCCACGTGGAGAATCTTAGTTTGGCCAGCCGCAATAGTCAAATTGGACTATGTGACATACTGGGTACCCTCCCCCACCCTATACTGACAAACTCGTACAGGTATAGGACAATAGTGCAATGGGCCATTTTAGAGAGGCAATGCCTACCTCTACCTCTGGTATAATGGCCCACGTGGAGAATCTCCTAGTTTGGCCAGCCGGCAAAAGTCAAATTAGACTATGTGACATACTGTGTACTCTCCCCCCAACCTATGCTGACAAACTCGTACGGGTCTAGGGAGGCAATGCCTACCCTCTACCTCTGATATAATAGCACATGTGGAGAATCTACTAGTTTGACTCTAAAGTTTGGTCTATAGAGTCTTAGATGCCTACCCCCTATTTTTCAAATTCTGTCAAAAATTACCTACAGCAATACTTTTTTACACACTATGTGCAAATGATAGGTAAAGGTCTAAGGTCCATTGGGCCAAAGGCCAAGGTGGGACAACTCATGATTTGTCTTCCCCATAGGTCCCCCATATGTCCAAACTTAGATCTAAAGAGTCTTAGATACCTACCCCACTATTTCTCAAAGTCTGTCAAAAATTCCCTGCGGCAATACACTTTTTTACACACTAGGTCAAATGATAGTTAAAGGTCTAAGATCCAATTGGGCAAAAGGTCCAGGTAGGACAACTCATGGTTTATCTTCACCATATGACCAAACTTAGGTCTAAAGAGTCTGAGATGGCTACCCCCCATCTTTCAAAGTCTGTCAAAAATTACATACAGCATTACTTTTTTACACACTATGTGCAAATGATAGGTAAAGGTCTTATGTCCATTGGGATGAAGGCCAAGGTGGGACAACTCATGGTTTGTCTTCACCAGAGGACAAAACTTATGTCTAAAATGTCTTTAATGCCTACCCCTCACTCCACCCTATCTTTCAGTCTTGAGCCTGGTATTATTTTGCATTTAAGAATATAAGCACAAGCAAATGGCTTTTTAGCTCACCTGGCCCAAAGGGCCAAGTGAGCTTTTCTCATCACTTGGCGTCCGTCGTCCGTCGTCGTCCGTCGTCGTCGTCCGTTAACTTTTACAAAAAAATTTTCCTCTGAAACTACTTAGACAAATTTAACCAAACTTGGCCACAATCATCATTAGGGTATGTAGTTAAAAAAATGTGTCCTATGACCCCGCCTGCCAACCAACATGGCCGCCATGGCTAAAAATAGAACATAGGGGTAAAATGCAGATTTTGGCTTATATCTCTGTAACTAAAGCATTTAGAGCAAATCTGACATGGGGATAATATTGTTTATCAGGTCAAGATCTATCTGCCCTGAAATTTTCAGATGAATCAGACAACCCGTTGTTGGATTGCTGCCCCTGGATTGGTAATTTTAAGGCAATTTTGCCATTTTTGGTTATTATCTTGAATATTATTATAGATAGAGATAAACTGTAAACAGCAATAATGTTAAGCAAATAAGATCTACAAATAAGTCAAATGACCAAAATGGTCAGTTGACCCCTTAAGGAGTTATTGCCCTTTATAGTCAATTTTTAACCATTTTTCGTGAATTTTTGTTATCTTTTACAAAAATCTTCTCCTCTGAAACAACTAAGACAAATTTAACCAAACTTGGCCACAATCATCATTAGGGTATCTGGTTTAAAAAAATGTGTCCGATGACCCCGCCTGCGAACCAAGATGGCCGACATGGCTAAAAAATAGTACATAGGGTAAAATGCAGTTTTTGGCTCATATCTCTGAAACCAAAGCATTTAGAGCAAATCTGAAGAGATAAAATTGTTCATAAGATCAAGATCTATCTGCCATGAAATTTTCAGACCAATCAGGCAACAGGTTGTTGGGTTGCTGCCCCTGGATTGGTAATTTTAAGTCAATTTTGCCATTTTTGGTTATTATCTTGAATATTATTATAGATAGAGATAAACTGTAAACAGCAATAATGTACAGCAAAGTAAGATCTACAAATAAGTCAGATGACCAAAATGGTCAGTTGACCCCTTAAGGAGTTATTGCCCTTTATAGTCAAATTTTAACCATTTTTCGTAAATTTTTGTTATCTTTTACAAAAATCTTCTCCTCTGAAACAACTAAGACAAACTTAACCAAACTTGGCCACAATCATCATTAGGGTATCTGGTTTAAAAAATGTGTCCGGTGACCCCGCCTGCGAACCAAGATGGCCGACATGGCTAAAAAATAGTACAAAGGGTAAAATGCAGTTTTTGGCTCATATCTCTGAAACCAAAGCATTTAGAGCAAATATGACGAAATAAAATTGTTCATTAGATCAAGATCTATCTGCCATGAAATTTTCAGACCAATCAGGCAACAGGTTGTTGGGTTGCTGCCCCTGAATTGGTAATTTTAAGAAAATTTTGCAGCTTTTGGTTATAATCTTGAATATTATTATAGATAGAGATAAACTGTAAACAGCAATAATGTACAGCAAAGTAAGATCTACAAATAAGTCAAACAACCAAAATTGTCAGTTGACCCCTTAAGGAGTTATTGCCCTTTATAGTCAATTTTTAACCATTTTTCGTGAATTTTTGTTATCTTTTACAAAAATCTTCTCCTCTGAAACAACTAAGACAAATTTAACCAAACTTGGCCACAATCATCATTAGGGTATCTGGTTTAAAAAATGTGTCCGATGACCCCGCCTGCGAACCAAGATGGCCGACATGGCTAAAAAATATTACATAGGGTAAAATGCTGTTTTTGGCTCATATCTCTGAAACCAAAGCATTTAGAGCAAATTTGACGGAAATAAAATTGTTCATAAGATCAAGATCTATCTGCCATGAAATTTTCAGACCAATCAGGCAACAGGTTGTTGGGTTGCTGCCCCTGGATTGGTAATTTTAAGGCAATTTTGCCATTTTTGGTTATTATCTTGAATATTATTATAGATAGAGATAAACTGTAAACAGCAATAATGTTTAGCAAAGTAAGATCTACAAATAAGTCAGATGACCAAAATGGTCAGTTGACCCCTTAAGGAGTTATTGCCATTTATATTCATTTTTTTACAATTTTCATAAATTTTGTAAATTTTTACAAAATATTTTCCACTGTAACTACTGGGCCAAGTTCATTATAGATAGAGATAATAGTAAGGAGCAAGAATGTTCAGTAAAGTAAGATCTACAAACACATCACCATCACCAAAACACAATTTTGTCATGAATCCATCTATGTCCTTTGTTTAATATGCACATAGACCAAGGTGAGCGACACAGGCTCTTTAGAGCCTCTAGTTACATTCTGATTTTACATTCTGATTTTACATTCTGATAACTCAAATAAAAAGATGTTGCCATTCCTACTACATTGTACTAGTATTGATAACCCTGTCTTAATTTTTCGATGAACATAGAAAATCAATAGGCAAACAAATGCTTACATATATAAAGCTTGATACAGAATTTCGTGGAAACTTGGGAAGCACAGATGTGTACTTTTTGAGAAAAATGCGTCAAAACAAGTAGGTGGTCGGACAGAGCTTAAGAACATATCACTATCTCGGAGACGAAAGTATAATAAATTTTAATTCGGTACTTCATTATATAAATGTTGTTTTTTATACATAGATAGCAGCCAAAACCCAACCATACTGCCTTATGGGTGATTGTGGATACGGACAAACAGGGAAGCCCATCTCACTGGTCAACTGTTCATCAGGACATAATGTAAGATATGAAGTCACATTTCTTTTTTTATATTGAAAATGTTTGTTATAAAATAGTCTATATTTCGTCTTTTTTTTTTCGTTTTATTTGTTTTTTATTTTTCTTCTTTCGTGTTGTGCAGTATTTCATGCTTCTCAGCTGTTTTGGTATCGATTGCAACTGATGAGTCGTATGTAAACGAAACACGCGTCTCGCGTACCAAATAAAAAACCTGGTCTATTTGATTTGTAATTACAGCATCTCGATGTTTGATTAAGGTGGTACCAAACACCTCGACTAAAATTAATTTGGCTCGTTTAATTTTCATAAAATTTTGACACAATATTTATTTTGACTCTTTGACAAAAATATAAAAATTTCAAAAAACTTGAACCAAACATTTTATCGGAAAAATACATTGGATATATAGTAGTTTGACAAACACTAATTTTGATCATTGAGAAGCTTAATATTTCCTTAACAATAGAACGTGATTAAAACGTTCAGCTAATTTTTACAGAGTTGTCTCCCTGTAGTGTTATGTACCACCTTAAGATGCACAAATACAATATCGTCCTCATTTTTGCTTTTACGTTGACGTTACATATTCTTTCTTTTTTGTTTGCCGGTCCGTCGTCGACACATGAATTTGAATTCCCTCATTAATACTTGTCTATTGTTTTCCATTCATTTTTGTAAAAGTAACAGCAAAAAGGATTTTAGAAATCAAATAAACACATTAATAGACTATTTTATATTTGTAAATATATATTTTTTTTAATTAAGAAAGTAATGTATTTGACAATGGCAAAAGAAATAAAACGAGACAATGGATGTGTTGATTACAGCGGGAAACCTGGAATACAGATGGAATCATGCCATCAGAGGCGGGGAAACCAGGAATGGGAATATCGAGAGGTATTTTAATATAAAAATAAGAAGATGTGGTATGATTGCCAATGAGACAACTAACATCTGAGACCAAATGATGTAGAAGGTGTGCAACTATAGGTCATCGCGTACGGCCTTCAACAATGAGCAAAACCAATACCATAGAGCAAGCTATCAAAGGTTCCAAAAGTACAAATGTAAAACAATTCAAACGAGAAAACTAACGGCCTGATTTGTGTACATAACAATAAACAAAAAACAAACAAACAAACGGCAACCCCTGAATCACAGGCTCTTGACTTTGGAAAGGCACATAAAGAATGTGGCGTTGTTAAACATGTTTGCGGGCGCGCTATCCCATCCCTAACCTGGAACAGTGTTGTTACAGCACACATAAGAACAACCTTAAAAAATCAGTTGAAAAAGGTTTAACTCGTCAGATCGACAAAAATCACAAAACAACTAATCTAAACCAATAGAAAAGACACAAAGTACAAATCTGAAAGTACTCGTAATTACTGAAAGCTAATTCAAAGTCAACAACAACTATGGTTGTAAGGGAGCTACCATTTAATTTTTTTTTTTTTGGGGGGGGGGGGGGGGGCGGGGGGGGGGGAATGGGGGGGGGGGGGGGGGCTAGGATGAAAAATTTTGTCCTGCATTGTAATCTCTGTCCTGCCTTTTTATTTTTCACTCTTTTCGGTCCTGCCTTTTTTTGATTAGTTTATCCTGACTTTTTTTTACATAAATTATCATCCTGCCTTTTTTTTGGCAAAGTTGCTCATCCTGCCTTTTTTTTTTAACTCAAAACTCCTGTCCTGCCTTTTTTCCAAATTCCATCCTAGCCCCCCCATAAAAATCAAATGGTAGCTCCCTAAGACTTAAGTATGAATATTCTGATATAACCTATTATAACCGAGTGTCAGTAGTAGTCATTAACGATTTTAAAAAATGAACCTTATTAAAACTAAGACACAGGTTTATAGTAATACTCTCATTTTGAAATTCAGTTTTGCGTAATTTATGTATCAATTTAAATATAATGTATTGCGTATACAACATTTTTATGATTTTCTTTTATTTGTCATTTTAGGATAATACGTTGTATCATGTGTTTTCACAGAAGTGCCTTGAAATATCACAAGATGGACAAACACTGTTTATGAACACATGTTTAGGCACTGATTACCAAATTTGGCTTTGGAACAGAAATGGACCACCAGGACCAACGAGAAACTGGAATTCGTTAGATTGAATATCTTTAAAAACATATTTTGTATTGACATAACATGCTACTTTATCGAGTATTAATTCTATATTTTGAAATCCAATTCATACAACAATTCTTCTCTTTTCAAGTCAGTGTGCGAAAACGCATTGATTCCTCAATTTTTTTTTAAATAATTTATTTTTTCAAGTTCATGTCATATAAGACGTTTGTTCTTTAGAAAAATGAGCCTGTAGATAGATACAAAGGGGACATTCAGAACGCATAAGTTGAAGTAAAACTGACAACGCCATGGTAAAAATAGATAACAACCAAAAACACTACATAGAAAACTAAAGATTGAGCAACACGAACCCTACCAAAAAAGGGGTGAACACTATGTGTTCAAGAAGGGTTAGCAGTTCTTGATCCACATATGGCACCCGTCCTGTTACTTATACATGTACTCATCATTTTCCGGTGATATTTCACAGTCGTGGAAGAAATATTCTAGACTATACTTTTGAAAAAAAAATTAAGTTAAGTCCTTTGCGATTGGTTTACAAAGTCCTTATCTATCATTCGCCTATTCGATCGGCAATTATAATCTGAATCACGGCCACTGCAGCGTAAAAAGTCCTTGCTTTTTCAGCATTACTGATATGTTTCATAAGTTACGCATGCGCATGATTATCCTAATAATATACGAACATCCTAAACGGGGATGTGCTTCTAACGAAAAGACTCCTAAAGCATGATTGTTAGGAATAGCGACTGATCCCAAACTACTCAATTTTTGCGCTCGAAAAGGAAGGCGTATTTAAATCTAATTATTTAAAACTTCTTCTTTCGGGATCAAGATATAATAATATTTGATAAATTGTCATTTTCTGTGAATTTTTGGGCGAGCGATGACATGTTAAAATTAAATGTTGATTTCTTATAAATGCAAGTCTCCAAGGAATGGTGATAAAAATGTTTATGTTTCCAAACTTTTAGAGAAAGAAGACCTTTGAATCAATTTGGATTTGCCTGAGAATTGAAATAATATAATGTAAGCAAAGAATGGGGGTGCACCTATATTCTTCTACATCGTCTGATGAAAGAGCATGATTGCCATAAAAAAAGGTCGTTATTTCATTTAATGCAGCCTATTTTCCTATTTACAAAGAGAATATGCTCTACTATGTTATCTTTTATGGAATTGAATGCTGTTTTTTATTTTTATTTTATTATTATTATTATTATTATTATTATTATTCCTTTTGCGCTCCGTGCATACTGTGATTTGTCACTTCGATATAGAAAATATATAAACATTATAATATTCAATCGAAAAGGTATTTAGCTTTAACCACTAGTCTTCAGCAGATAATGTGGTGATATATAAGCCGTATTGCCCCATGTGCAATCAACTGTTCGTCATAAAGATGAAATGTAGATGTCGATTTCAGAGCTAAGTAGATACGCCATATCTATTTAACTTCAATTATTATTCCAAATCAGGGACGGATCCAGGATTATATGTAAGGGTGGGAAAGGGGGGGGGGCTGTAAATTATGAGATACTATTTTGGTATTTCCTATTTCTATTTGTTATTCATATGTTCTATGTAAATGTCAACTGCCATTTCAATTAAATACCGTTCGCGATTTTAAACTTTCACCGCTTGGTACAAGTGCCCTTTAATGGGGTGGGTAGTGCTATACATGTATACTATTCGTAGGTTCTATTTACATAATTAAATTGGAAACACATAACGGATCAGGAGACTCGTCCCCATCCAACAAAGATCAGTATCTGATTTATTAATGTTTGATTGATGTCCAGTGGCAAATATTTGATACATGTTCAAGACGATAATCAGTATCTGTATATGAATTGTATATGATATTGTACACATTATGTAAATATAATAAGATGGTGAGCGTTCATTGATGTAATAAATCTAGTGTACTGTTGTAAATCAATACGTGAAGACATTAAATTACAAATAAATCAACAGAAATCAATTACGGAAAACTCATAATTTCGAGGACATTGTGAATCTTTTGAGAAACGATTGAACGACATTGTAATTAAAATATACAGTACTATTTTCTTTTTTCTTTTTAACAATATTCAACAATATCGCAAACCAAATAAATCTGACCGTGATCTTTTTTTTTATATATTATATAACAGAAGAAATAATCTATAATTAGTACAATTATCTGCGCAATATATTTAGCAAATATTTGAATAACATTCTGGTATGACAGAATTATACTACAAATGTTTACACACTTATTCAATGAAGGATAAAAGGGGCGCCTTAAGAAAAAACGGATATTATTAGTGAAGAAAAAATCTTGACACATGATAAATTATAAGTGAAAAAAAATACCAATATGAAATAATAGGGACTTTATAAAAATGATATTTGATTAAAATGTATAACTTATATTTATGTAGCATGTCAGCTCTACATAATAGGGAAAACGGTAGTATTTATTCTTCCATAAGCGACAACACTAACATTTTCTAAATTTACCACTTTACATAAAAAATAAAAAATAAAAACAGTTATGTGTGGTATTAGTACTTTATTATCCTGTTTTAGAAATTGAAGTCAAATAGTATCATGACCATCTTCAAACGGAGCTTGTTTGTGGTATCCATGCCCACCGTCATTTTACATGAAGTGTTTGAAAATTTAGAAGTCTTTTCGAATAATTCTCAAGAAAATATTTCAATGGATTTCAAAATTTAAATTGTTACTATACACACTGCAGTTATTCATAAATAAATAAAAAATATATTGTACCCTTACATCCAATCACAGCGCTCCTAAGTTGACTTCCTTTACATGACTTGGGACACGAAAGGCCAACCTAGTGCCGGGAAAGTGTAGTACTACTTTTCCCCTACAAAACATCAATCAAATTTTAGATTATACTAGATGACAATGGTGAAATCGCGTGTATTTTTATTATCACGTTAACTTGGAAACTTTGCATCGTCAACTGAAAAAATACACGAAGAAATAGCTAATATTGATAAAACTTAGTGAAATAAGTCCAATTTATTTCGCATGTAATGGACTAAACGATGTAGTACTTTAAGGCAAAGTATTGATTTTGTGAAGGAGTAAAACCACTAATTCAAAGCCCCATTGCTTTCTATGTTTAATTATGCAATTTCAAGCATTAATGGCTACTTTGTCTTAAGTTCAAATAAAGTGGCAGTTATTTCATGTCAAAACTATACCTTATCCTGACTTGTGCTAAAAAATTCAACATACATGTACCTTTAATTGCATATTAGAGCGCACTGGTTCCCGGAAGTTTGGTAGAACAAAAACAGGTACTTCCGATCTGAACAACAGGGCAAATGTGCCCTCCTATAGTAATTTCATATAGTTTTTATTTTTCAAAACAAACTTTCAACAAGGTTCCTACAGTGATCCCAAGTTCTTCAGCTTTCATTTGATACCAAATTTATCCAAATATTTTACTTACTGACAAAGTTACAGCTATGCGTAGGAATTATTTTTAAAATATGTATGTTCTTTCTGACCGGACCCGAATTAGTGGTTCTATACCTAAAATAAAGGGAGGAGGGTTTGGAACATTATCTTTGGTCTATCTACTAATGTTTCTTCTATTCTAAATATTTAGTGGTGCATTGTTGTTTGATTTGGTCCTAATTTTAACTTAATGGTTAACGGTGGTATAGTATTGACATAAATCCTTAAGTTTATGTCCCTAAACGGACGTTGGTGTATGCTCTTTTTAATAAACTTCTGTATGGTATTGGGTTCAAACTTGATTCATTAAGTAAGTTGCTGGGTGTTTTTGTTAAATATATTTTTTGGTTCATGTTTTAAATGTAGCACTATCTTTCAAAAGTGAACATCTACTTAAGTTGGATTTGGAAGTAGTGATGTAGGTCCGAATCGAATCAAAGGACATTCGGATAATTATTTCTTTTTTTTTTCAAACAATGACACAGATTATCAAATCTAATTAAAAATGGGAAAAATGAGGGAAGCAGACGAGCATGCTTGCTTTGACACACTCATATTGAATGCTTTATTTTCGTAATAGAAACACACAAAAATAAATATGACTCCTAATTTAGTATATTTTATTATGCGTTATTATTATTATCAAAATTATAATATCAATCGAAGAAAAAAAAAATCGGTCTTACATAATGTCAACGTTCTTTGTACATTTCCTACTATTAACACTTATATAAAAAAAGGAGGAAAATCGTAAATTTTTAACATGAACAGTAAACTACAACTTAACTCAATGGAATACTTTGACGTAAAACATAAAATTCGGATTGAGGGTGTAAAAAACGTAGTCTAAGTCCCACGTGTCATATGTGATAAATAACTACTGGAAATCAATGCATGCATCAAATCAAACAGCATAACAATGAAGAGAATATCTGACGAAACAGCTGTTCATTTGAAAAATGGACAATGTAATTGATTATCTAAAATATTATCATCCTGTGTATTCATCTTTCAACATTGATCAGGTAAGAAAACGTAGTTTATTTAATTTTGTTAATTATATTTTACCTATATATATAAATAGAGAAAAGATACATTATAAGCAAAGTTGACCTTAGATAGTTTGGCTATTTTTTGGGTCCTTTTTGGTCATATAAAAATGTAGCTCTTCAACTATTTCGGTTCTCATAATCCTTGGCTTTCAAATATTCGGCTTTGAGTGTTCCGGATGAAGGTATATCCAGAAAAGCGCTTCGGACGCATGCAATATATAACGTTTTGTTTTCATTGTTTATAAATAGGACCTATTTGACCCTAAGATTTTAAACAATATAAAAAACACTAATTTAAAGTTGTGGTCTCAGATTTATTATTTCAGTTTTTGATAAGAGGATACATTTTCTTGTATCTCTGGTCTTCAAAAGCCACCGAAAACACAACTATAAGGATATTGAGCGAACGCTCAGGCTTAAGAAAACTAAGTTGAAAGCTCAACCGATGATTATGAATTTTTGTGACAACTAAGCGCTTCCAAAACCAGGAATGCGCCTTGAACGCACCTACATTTAATTTAAAGTGTTATTTTTAATACATGTTTTCCATTTACACTTAAGTATCGCGATTTAAATACATGTATAACCGATGGCTTTTCAACCATTAACGGTGTTTGCTGTCATTGGTTTTGTCATGGTTATTGTGTAAAATATCAAGAGTTCTTGGGTTAGTCAGACTGAGTTGTAAATTATATGAAGCGAATGGAGGTACACAGATTTATGTTTGAGCCTTACACCTTTTTTTACGATAGTGTTCGTCTTTTTTGCTACCTACATGTTTTGTATTTCACAACAGTCGCTTGTTTAATTAACAAAAGGACATACGATACAGTTTGATTTCACCGTTATTTTTTAATTTGCATACAAGCTATAATTTTTCACTTAGTCAATTCAAATATGTAACAAAAAAATATATTCATGTGCTAAATTGAGAGATATATGAGGTCGAAATTTTAGACATTTGCTTAAATTTTCGGTTTCTTGCACATTTCTTTCCTTTGGACAGACATTCTTTAATTTTTTTGTTTCAAAACAAAACACATGTTGATTTTTGTAAAAGGATTAAGAAAATATTCTGTACAAGAGTACATGTATGCTCTTAATTTTGAAAACTGGTCATACAGTATAAAGTCAAATGCCATTTGAAGAAAGAGGGTCCATGTACTCGTTTTAATTAATTCAAGCTAATGACTAAAACTCCTTGAAAAATGCATCTTTTCCCGATATGTCGCAGTTTGACGTCTCGAAAAATAACATTTTACTTTAGCAACTTCATTACCTCCCCTATTACTGTGTCGACAACAAATGGAAGTTTTTAACGACCTTGACTGGATATACATCCCTCGCACGGTCGGGATTACTGTGTCGTATGTCCTTAAATCATCAAGCAGAACGAAATTTCAAGACGTTCATTTGAGCCAACAACAAATATCTAAAAAATCTTTGTCATTGCTATATATTGTAGTCACACAGGTTTAGCTCACCACATTGTCACTTTGAGATTAAGAACAGCAATAAGAGCGCTGTTCCGTTGCTTTTTTGTGTTTTTTACTGTGCATATACTGATACACCATATCCTTTCTTTTCTATGATGTGTACCATATTTTGTTCGTTGTTGATTGTCTTATTTTGTACTTTTATTTTGTCGGAGAGGTTTGATTTTGATGTGGTCTACTGTAATGTCAAGTATTTTTGTTGATTGGTCATATCAATTAAATGTCCTTATTGCTTCGGTTTTTTTTATTATCCAAATTTAATAGTAACAAAAGGAAAAATATGCTCAATTTACTTACTCCAACGGTTCAAAACAAACTGTTACAGTATTTCAGAATGTGACATTTTTAGAACACGTTTTCCAATAAATACTTCATTTTGCCTTATAAAAACTAGAGACAAGATACCAGATGAATGATTGATTGATTGTTGTTTGCCGAACACTGATCCAGTGGCAAATATTTTAAGTATGTTGATGAAGATTTTATGTTTTGTTGATATATCACGGCAGACTGAACAAAAAATAATCATACTTCATTTGAGAACCTTTTATAGCTTACTATGCGGTATCGGTTTTGCTCATTGTTGAAAGCCGAACGGTGACCTATTATAGTTATTTAAAACTGTTGGAGAGTTGTCTCATGAGTAATCATACCACATCTTCTTATTTTCATATTTAAGATAACCCAAATAAATAATGTGGATTATTGAGGGTGTGGATGGGGTTTACAGAATAAAGAAAAATGGACAAAAAGTACAGAATAACGGGCAAAAATTATAAAGAATAGAGATAAAATAGGCCAAAAAAATTAAGAAATGGGGTGCTTGAATATAAAAAATGGAGAATAATGGGAGGCTAAAATATAAAGAATAGAGAATAATGGGAGGTTAAAATATAAAGAATGGAGAATAATGGGAGGCTGAAAAATAAAGAATAGAGAATAATGGGAGGCTAAAATATAAAGAATAGAGAATAATGGGGTGCTAAAATATAAAGAATGGAGAATAATGCGCAAATTATACAGAATAGATAAAATGATTAAAAGATTTGATAATACAAAATTGAAGGACCCCCATCCAGACCCTCATTATAGGGTTTTAATTTATTCGTGATACATTGATGAGTAGATCGATTTGTGACAAAAACAATATTCAACCTTCATCTATCAAACATAGCAAAAACTGACAACAGCTTGATCATTTAATTTACAGAATTCAACGCCCTTTGCACGTTTAAGAACAACTTCTAAATGGACGTAAATGGCTGAGTTTAAGCACCTTGACACTACACTGTCGTGTATTTACGTATTTCGTTTCACCCGAACAAGATATTTATCAGTATTTTCCTATTGAACAAATGATTGGGGGATGGAAGAATAATTTCCATTTGCTACTGTTTTATGAATACCTAGAAAGATTGACAAAAACCATTTGCTGGCATGATACGGGGTATTTTCTTCTCGTATAATTAATGATGGCATGATACTCAATTCCTAAAGGAAGGAATTGTGCTTTGATTTTCATTATGATGAAGACATAATCTTTCGATCAGTTTAGGTGAGGTCTGAAGCTTGTATGTTAGTAACTGCTAGTAGTCCATTGTTAATTTATGCATGGACGTATTATATTGACAACGTCCATCATTTATGCGATCAAGGTAATTTTGCTTCGTTTCTTCTGTTACCTTTTCTAACATCGGACTCGGACTTCTTTTAAAATGAGTTTTATCGTGAGTATTACTGTATTTTGGTTCGTTTATATGTTTCGGAGTTTAGTGTGGCGTCCATTTCTCTAAACAAGTTTACATTGTTTAGGGGCCAGCTGAAGCCCGCCACCGGGTGTGTGTTTTTCTCGCTGGCGTGGAAGATCCATCGGTGGCCTTGGGGTGTTTTCTGCTCTCTGGCCGTGTTGTTGTCTCTTTGACACATTTCCCGTTTCAACCTTCAATTCTATACGTTACAAAACCGCTAAATGGTCATCTAATTTACATGTATTATGATATATGATAACCTGTCAGTAAGTAGGAGTTTCTACTCTGTTTACAATCATTTTGTCGCTGTGTAAAAAGAAAGGCTTGATTTCAAAAATAGACTATGGGATCATAAATAAATATTCCGGGGACTTAATGGAATAAATAAGCTGTGTAAAATAAATCATTTTGTGCGTATGTGTTTGGTTCGTCGTGGATTTTTAAAACATTTTATTGGTATTAAGCTAAATATCTAGTGACAATGCCATTATATCAATAATATATATGTAAACTCTGTTTTTTTAAAGTAGGGGAATAATCCACATTTTTGTTTTCAGTTGATTTGGAATCGATGTGTTTTATAAATCTTTTGAGACTTAAATTCTGAGCGTCTCCATTAGTGTAAAATTACACTTATACGATAAAACTATTTTTTATTTTATACTTCCGTTTCACCTAAATTTGTTTTACGACAAGTTGGTATCATATTTGTCACAAAAGGTTTTAAATGCATTTAATCAAAATAAACCAATCTGTTATTGTTTTCAACAATGCCCAAGACAATTTTTGTAACAGATTAGGTGAAAGCAAAAAAAAAGACTATTGAATATAAAGAACCCGGAATAATTGAATATTCCATATCCCATGCTCTCAGGGATAACATGCAGTTTACAAGCTGTAATAACGATTGCTAGGCTGTTTGCTTAACGTCCAGTGGCAAATATTATACCCAACTCTAAAATCGGGGGCTATATTGCAATCTTCTTGTTAGACTGTCAACCTAAGTTTTGTTAGTTTTTTTTTGTTTTTTTTTTGTTTTTTTTTTTAATTTGATCATTTCGAAATAGTACTAAAGTTTGGAAATCCAGAGAGGAATTCGTGAATGATTAGTTACATGAATATAACTGAAAAGCTGCAAACGAATTAAAATAAACTTGAAAAGTCCACATTATCTGAGGCAGAAGCAACATTAAGCTTAGTTTTTTTTTTTAATTACAAACATCATTGGTTCGTCGAAGTTGCAGTTATCAACCATAAATGGTTGAATTATTCCCACAGTTACAGTTATGCATTAATACTTTTTTTTTTCAAAAGAGAGCCGGGCGAAATATACCAAAGGACATTCAAACTTATAAGACCAAAATATTACAACGCCCTGGCAAAAAAACTAAAAGGACCAAAAGACAAACAACAGTATGCAAAACACAACATAGAAAACTAAAGACTGAACAACACGAGCCCCACAAAAAACTGAGGGTGACCTCAGGTGCTCCGGAAGGGTGCCGTTGTGTTTTTCATAATAACATACGCAGTGGTTTTGATTCAATAGTCGATATGCAAAATTTAAATAAAATACGATATTGCTGCATTCGTTGTCATTAATGTGGATAAAAACAGAGAAAGCCAGAAAAGGATATTAAAATCATTTTAAATGATATCTCCTGATAATACGGATTAGTATTCTGACGTGAATTTATTCTTTTATTTCTTCTAATTATGCAAACATTCATTTCTTTATTGTTACAAAGTTATGGGGATTGCCAAACTTGAGAGATTATTAGTTCAGAAATTGCTGGAAATATTGAGGTTAATCTCACACATGAAGATTAAGATGTAAACACTTCTTCGAGAATTAGATCTTTAGAAATCAAGTAGATATAAACACACACATATATATATATATATATATATATATATATATATATATATATATATATATACAAAAAGAAAATGCATACACATGTACGATACTTTCGACTACTTATCCACTCGGCAGATAATTTTATAGTATGAGAAATGTACGAAAAGTTGTTTAAACGACATTTTGCATATAGCCGTGGTGCTTAAAAACAAATGTGTTCAAATGTACAATGTCGGTGCTAGATATCTGACATCAGTTAATACAAAGTACAGATTAGTTGAATCCTAGTATAACTTCGAAAAGAACAATTATTTGTAATAAAGAAATGAATAAAGCGGGATTAATTATTCATTTACCGTCCTGTTCTTTTAAATAAAAACAAAAAACACAAAAACAAAAAAACAAAAAAAAATATTTAAAAAAAATAACTTGCAAGTAAAATTGATTGTGGACTGAAATGGTTGGAACTTACGAGAATTTTGTTCTCGTAAGGTTTATTTAGTGACATTGATCGATGTAGTAACGCAAAGAAAAAAATTCGATAGGATCAAAAGATGAATGATGTTATAATGGATATTACTCTATTTCTTAATAATTATCTTGACTGTTGGAAATGAAATGTAGTTCTACAGTCCAGGAACACAGACGATGTTGGAAGGCTCGGACTACAAATTAGTATAAAACACCTGTACTTAGTTTTTTTTTCTTATTTGGCTGCATATGGTTTGTAGTAATATCAATCATAAAAAAACATAATTCACTTCTTGCGAATACCAACAATATCAATATATCTTAGTATATGATAACTAACTCAGTTCATATTTAACTAAGATTTTGTAAATTACTTTTATTGTCAAACTGTTAAAAACGAAATCATGAAATTTTCATTTCAAACTGCATACATCAAAAACAATGCACATGACTTCGTTCGTTGTTTTTACGATATTTTGCGGGTTCGGGAAAAGGGATTAAGAGGGGGGGGGGGGGGGGTGATAGGATAAAAAAAGAAGCGTACAAATGACAAACGGACATTCAAAAATCTAAACTCGAAATAAAAACTCACGATGACTTTGAAGAAAAACACCAAAATCGACGAAGAGATGAACAAGTCCAGAAAAAAAAGAAGCGTACAAATGACAAACGGACATTCAAAAATCTAAACTCGAAATAAAAACTCACGATGACATTGAAGAAAAACACCAAAATCGACACAGAGATGAACAAGTCCAGAACTAAAACTAAAACTAAAGACTGCTCATCACGAAACACACAATTTAAACACTGGGGTGTATTCATGAGTTGCAGACGGGTAAGCAGTTCCTACGTCATAAGTTACATCTAATAAATGGTTTGTTGTTTTTATATGTAATCATTGAGTTTATTGGTCAGAAGGGATTCAATATGGTCACTGTAAGACTGTAATAATAGAAGGACAGTTGTTAATTATAATAGACAAGAGATGATACATGTAACAATTACTGCTGTTTTCTCATTAAATACTATACAGACATCACTGTCTCAGGTTAGGGGGGGGGGGGGGCTTTGTCAACAAAAAACTAGTTCAAACCCGCTGCATTTGTTTGCACCTGTCCTAAGTAAGGAGCCTGATGTTCAGTGTTTTTTATATAGATTAGACCGTTGGTTTTCCCGTTTGAATGGTTTTACACTAGTCATTTTTGGGGTTCTTTATAGCTTGCTGTTCGGTGTGAGCCAAGGCTCCGTGTTGAAGTCCGTACTTTGACTTATAATGGTTTACCTTTACAAATTGTGACTTGGATGGAGAGTTGTCTCATTGGCACTCATACCACATCTTCTTATATCTAATTAAAACAACACTCATCGGTAACTTTCAAACCAAAATATTTGAAAGTCATGGATGTAACGTTATATATATTTGAATAATTTACGATTAATATGATTAATGAATAAGACTTTGAAAGAAAAATGCATATAATACATGTATAATCCACAGGCACTTGTCTCAGAAAAATAGGAATTTTTTTTCTGAGACAAGTGCCTGTGGTATAATCGTAACCATTCAAAAAGGGGGACGAGAGATACCAGAGGGACAGTCAAACTCACAGATCGAAAACAAACTGACAACGCCATGGCCAAAAATAAAAAGACAAACAGACAAATAATAGTACAGATGACACAACATAGAACTATTCAAACTATTGTAATGATATGATTTGACTTTGCCCATTTTGCATAAAAGTGAAAACGAAATAGAAATACTCCCCAAAATACAGAAAAAAACTCTTCCAAAAATGACTTATGGAGAATACTATTAACTAACTTAGAAATGGTGCTGTTTTTGAGGACCAGGAAACCATTGTCTGGAAATCATTTACTGTGATTCTGAGAATGCGTAACTTAACAAGAATGTCTCAGTCGCGTAGCAATTGATTATGAAAATGGATTATGAAATGTATCTCTACTACACTTTATGTCGTGAAATAAACCCTAATTATATATGTTTCAGGACCAGAAAAATGAACTTAGTACGAATACTCCGGCGGAAATTATCAGCACCAATATTCCTATTATTTTTAGTCGCTGTTCTCTGGTATTCGATTTTTATGGTTGAAGACATGGTCAAATCAAGAGAAACTGATGCTGAAAATATGGATATCTATGATGTTAAATTGAGAAAAGCGATCGATGAAAATACAGACAGACCGATACGTGACCATGTAAAACCTTTACAACCACCAGATGACCATGATAAAAATCCGGAATCTCTTAATTTTCAAATAAACGACAAAATGAAGGAACCAAATTTTGATAAACCAATTGACAATATACAAGATCAGAATATTGATATAGATGAAAATAAACAAGAAAGAAATAAAAAAGACGAAAAATTACAAATAAAACCACCATTGAAGGACCTTCCAAAATTTGATGTTCTTGTGAAGGAAGGATTAGGTAATAATAATCTTTTTTTATATAAATTTAGCTTACTGATTTAAATAAATCACTACAATCAATTATTGATTGATTGATTGATTGATTGATTGGTGTGTAACGGATTCAAACTCACAACCTCAGTGTTGACAGGCTAGTCTCAGATACATGATTTTATTATTAGTTGTTATTGACTTTGAACTAGCTGTCAGTTACCGCGAGTACTCTCAGATATGTACTTTGTATCTTTTTTGTTTTAAGGGATGTATAAATACCTTGCTACGTCCGGACTTTGTTTTTGTTATATGTTTGTTTTCTACTTTGTATTGTATTTTACCTGTATTTGTATTGTACCTGTATTTGTATTGTACCTGTATTTGTATTGTACCTGTAGAAAACTTAATTCAAACGGAATAGCACAGCCTAAATTTTACGGCGATGTTGTAAACCGAGCCCGGAAATATAAATTCGATTCGGGTAAACTTATCAATCCTTTAAAAAAAACTGAATTCTAAAAGGTTATCTATTCAACACACAATTTACATCAGTAAATTAAAACCATACTAAATATTACACATATGTACTTTCACAGTACTACAATCTGCCGATACTTATAGTGTAGTACTTAGTGTCTTTTCGTTTTTGGGATGTACAAGTACCCGCCCACGTCCACTCTGTGTTTTTGTTAGATGTATTTCTATTTGTATCCATCTGATGAGTCAAGTCTTTTTCAACTGATTTCTATAGTTTGTTCTTATTTTGTACTGTTACACCACTGTCCCAGGTTAGGGGGAAGGTTGAGCGCTCACAAACATGTTTAATCCCGCCACATTCTTTATGTGCCTGTCCCAAGTCAAGAGCCTAGTTCAGTGGTTGTCGTTGGTTCATGTCTGTCATATTTGTTTTTCGTAAATTGGTTTGTTATAATGTAGGCCGTTAGTTTTCTCAATTGAATTGTTTTACATTTTTCATGTCGGGCCTTTTATAGCCTACCATACGGTATGGGTTTTTCTCATTGTTGAAAGCGGTACGGTTGCCTATAATTGCTTACATCAACTTCATTTGAACTTTGGTGGATAGTTGTCTCATTGGCAATCATACCACATCTCCTTGTTACATTAAACATTTTCTGGTGGAGAGTTGTCTCATCGCATTTGGCAATCATTCCACATTTTTATATTAAACATAATTTATTCATATTGAACTCATGTTCTTACACTCTCTTTGCGACTAAGATTCCTCGTTGATGTCTCCATAGGAATTTGTCACAAAGTAAATGTTGGTATGCACTATCGAAATATATAAACAAAACTACACTATCCTAACTTACTTTTCGGTTTATTTCAGTTTGAAATTTGTATGTTTCAAATCAAAACACAAAATTTCATTTTTAAATCCTTTTCAGAAAAAATAATACTACTTTCAAACGGAAAGAAATATTTTCGCTCTTTTGTTTCTTGCAAAGTGTTCCTTAATTTACTGGTCTTTTAGGCATTCCGTTAGTGATATTTCCGCGAATTTTAGATGCATTATTATCTGCCCTTGCTAGTGTGTCGCATATCTACGTTATATGCAGTGCAGATTTAACAACGATCGATCTTTTGCAATGCACAAAATAAATCTGAAGGAGGATTAAATACATAAAAAATAGAAAATTTAAGCGAATCGATGTTAATCCCTCAACTTCAAAATGAAAACTAAAGATATAATCATTTAAAAATAGACAGCATTAATAAATTTTATAACCTGTTTTAAAAAATTTATCAATAAGCCTACTAATAAATCAAACAAAGATCTACTAGATAACATGTTTACTTATTATTATATCTTACTACCATGACAGTTGGTCGTGAAATAACACGTTCGAATTAAATTCTTACAAGCGTAACCTTGAGTCTTTTACTTATTATTAAGACAATAAGACTAACTTAAAGATATTTGTTCTTTTTGTTGGAAGTATTTTGGTAAAAATGTATGAATAGGACATTTTGGCTATTCAAGATTGAGGCAGCAGCCCACCGACACGCAAACAAACATACATCAGAAACTCTTTGTAGGAATTAATCTTTTAAAGTTCAAATGGGAATTAATTATAGATACATTTGTAAACCTTTGCATAATTAATCGTATTTTTCATTTCAAGTGTAAAGATTCGTTGGCATGTTTAGTCTCGCATATACAACATGCATCTATTAATTTGCAGGCATAAAGGGTTGAAAATTTGTTTTGTCTTCAAAAATAAATAACAATGCAACTACGATTTAAAATAGGAAATTAACAATACAATAAAAAATTTAAACCAAAACTCGTAACATAGCCTAAAAACTGTGTAAAAATATATGCAAATTTCTCATAATTTCGCATTTTGTTTATTTGTCTTTTTGATCGAATTAAGCCATTTCAATTGATATTTTATTGTGTGTATTTTTATGGTGTACTGTTATATCACTGTTTCAGGTTAGGATGAAGGTTGGCGCCTGTTAAAACGTTTAAACCCGCTGCATTTTTATGCACTTGTCCTAAATCAGGAGCTTGTTGTTCAGTGGTTGTCGTTTGTTGGTGTGGTTCATAGGTGTTTCTTGTTTGTCGTTTTTTATATAAATTAGACCGTTGGTATTCCTGTTTGAATTGTTTTACACTAGTCTTTTTGGGGGGGGCCTTTTATAGCTTGCTGTTCGGTGTGAGCCAAGGCTCCGTGTTGAGTGCCGTGTTTTGACCTATAATTGTTTACTTTTTACACATTGTGACTTGGATGGATAGTTGTCTCATTGGTACCCATACCACATCTTCTTATTTATATATAAGTTTAAAATAGAAGGTATAATTATGCCACTGTTTGGTCCTTAGAATTTAAAAATCAAGACGAATAATAAATCTACCAATTGACGTTATTCGGATGTTCGAATTTCAAAGGGCATTAGTCTGTCAGATATCGTTATAAATAGGGACTATATAAAGGGTCTTATCATGAGGGTATTGATGGGGTCCTTCTGTGATCAGTATATTTTTATCCAATTCTTTCATGTTTGCAGTTATTTTTTATATTTCAGCATCCCATTATTCTTCTATTCTTTTTTTTTCGCCAATTTCTCTCCATTCTTTTTTTCTTTGCCCATTATTCTCTATTATGTAAACCCCATCCACACCCTCTTTCATATTTCTTCCTTTACGTCCTTTGTGTTAGATAGAATAGCAAAAAGACAAAGCAAAAAGACAAACATGTGTGTGCGTTTATTTATCTGTTTTATTTATTTGTTCAGGAAAAAGAAAAGACATCATTGTACAAGAACGCATCCACATATATTTTTATTATACTCAAGTATTATATATACATGTATCATTATCATTATGATAAATGTTTCATTGTTCAAAAACACAATACATGATTAATCGCTGTCTTAAGTTTAAAGAAAAAAGTAACAAGAATTCAGAATTGTAATTACATATTTCTGTAATAATTATAGTTATGGTTATATTGCATAAGAATATTTATCATTAAATACATTGAATTTGATAGTTTAAGCATTCGTGTCACGAGCGGAATTAGATTAGCCATTCACATCCATGCTGATAACCAATATCAGCCCTATTAGACGTCACGTGGTCGGGCTGATATAGGGATATAAGCCTGGGTGCGTTCGTACATAATTAGTATATGATAAAAAGATTAAAATATGTACTTTTCAATATAGCCCGGGCTGATGTGGGGGTCACGGGATGATACCAGGACATATGGAAAAGGCCATGTATTACATGTAATCTGTATATATGCATAGTACAAGGTAATGTAATTAGATATATAATGATTTTTCTTGTTGCAGGAGAAAATGGACAACCGGTCAACATAAGTAAAGATTCATTATCTCAAGAAGAAAAGATGGACTATAAAACTGGATGGAAAAACAATGCATTCAACGAATATCTCAGCAACCGTATATCACTAGATAGAACTTTGCAAGACCCTAGAGATGAAAAGTAATGTAGATTAAATACATTTTTGGTTTTATTAGCTCTTTAACGTGTTAATAAGGTTTTGGAATTTCAAAAGTATTAGTCGGAAGAGACATTTATTTTCTAAATGTGCATTTGAACGATGCATTTGAATTGGAAGGCATGACATTGTTTGATGCACAAACGAAACTATACAGAAAAAAACAACAAAAGAAACATTAAAATAGTATTGCTTCGGACTATAAATTAGTAAATTAATATATATTATAACAAAAGACGAGACGCAATTTGCCGTTTCAGAATCGAAAGGACTATGTGTAAATGCACTGTTCGTACCTCAATTTTGTTATCTAAATATTCAACATCACAATCATTGTAATCACCGTCTTTTTTTTTGTATCTTCATCTTTATGCATCTTCGATGGCCTCCTTTCCCCCCGCAAACACGCGCATATCGAACCAATTGTAAAATATCCACTATTTGTTTGTCATGTGTACTGTCTTTTTCAAGACTAAAAATTTAATGTTAATTTTAGGTGCAAACTTATCAAATATCCCGAGAACCTACCCGACGTCAGTGTAATCGTTACATTCCACAACGAGGCTTGGTCTGTGCTCCTACGATCCGTCCACAGTATTATCAACAGAACTCCTAAGCATCTGCTCAGAGAAGTGATATTAGCAGACGACTGCTCCGATATGCGTAAGTTATCTTTGCTTATACTTAAATATCTGGCATGATCACAATTCGTGATGTATGTTTCATCAATAAATAAATAAACAAATAAGAATAACTATTTGAAAACATGAAATAGTTTGAATAATGTTTGAATTCAAAGGTCAGGATAGAAATAATCCCAAATATACGATAATCCGACAGGAAAGACTATGAGACTTGATACGATTTTGGTCAACACTGAAGGATTTTTTTGTCACGCATGGCAGTACTTTTATGTAGACAATGTGCATTAAAAAGATCAAAGTTCAAGTTATTGATATAGAAAGGATTTGTATAGTGAGACTATACAAATCCTTGTTGATAGCAAATAGTTGAAATTACAAAAATAAATAAGTAAAAAAAAACACTGCACTGTAATAACAACTTACTTGTACATAATAAAACACAGACAAGCATGTAAAATATAAAAAGATAGACTACATTAAGAAGTGGTGATGAATATAGGATTCAGGTCATCTATTATAATGCAAGATAGATGCAGTGTAATGGTTATTATACCTCAGTATGTATTTTCTATATAAAATTAAATACGGATAAAATGACTATTTTCCCTACGGAAATAGTTTCCAACAATTGTTTTCCCTAGGGAAAATAGTTCACCAGAAGCAAACGTGTTCCAGATTTTTTTATTCTCGGGTGTTTTTAGTTTTGACGTTCAGTTACTTCGATATCAGAGATTTACAAATAACGTTTCATCAGACGCCAGAGCTGGTATAGTTTTGTATCTCTTTGAATAGAATTTAGAATTTTTCTTCGATAGTTCTGTATACTAAAGCAGTTATTCAAGTTATTTCGGGATATAGCCATTTTATTTTCCCCATAGACACAAACTATTTCACTCCACGAGGCGTCGGGAAATAGTCAATGTCACGGGGAAAACAAAATGGCTACTGTATATCCCTCAATACTGTTAAACAACAGTTACGGTATAATATTCAGATGCATAGCAATGCTTCTCATTGAAATAGAAGAATTGTCCCTAATATTCTAAAATCTTGATCTGACAGTGTTTCTTAATACTTATCCAGTATAAAGGGACACTTATATTCAAAACAATATCTGTAGTGAAAGCAACTTGAGCAATACAACTATCGTTTTGGTGGACACTGATACTAACAAAGATCACCATGTTATAGTCTGAACAAATTTGATAAAGAAGACACTTCGGAAGTGCGTTGTTCGAATATAAAACTACACTTTACATATAAACTTCGGTATATGTGTCAAATAGTTGGATATTTGTAACATTTGTTAAATTTTAGCTCACTTAGCAGAACCATTAGAAACATATTTAGAGGATTATCCAAAAGTAAAAATTGTAAGAGCTACACATAGGGAAGGTCTTATCAGAGCAAGGTTGCGAGGATATAGAGCAGCAACAGGCACTGTGTTGGTATTCTTAGATTCTCACATTGAATGTGCTGAGGGTGAGTAATTTTAAATAGACTAAATATATTGAAGAATATGTTGTGGAACAAATAAGTCAGAGTTTTATGCAAAACAAAGGTTAAGTCATAATACATTAATTCCCAATTCGACCACATTTTGATATATTTGAAGGAAACCCGTGAAATGTTGAACATATGTGTATGTCTTTTAGTTTTATTTGTGTTAGCTGATTATTTCAATAAAAAAAAACAATCCATCAATACCTCTTTTACGTATAAAAATTAATTTGACGCATATACTTGAATATTGTACATGGCAATGAAAATAAAATATTACTATATACGACTTTGGCAAAGAACAAACATGTTGGATACTTATACATTGTTTCTTTTGTATTATTAAAATATAAAACATAAAATGAGTCCCTACCATCACTTGTTTCCTGTAACTCAGGCTTCAGTACGGGACTCTCACAGTTTTAAGGAATTTATTCCTCCTCCCAAACATCAATATTGAAATAATTTACCAGCGTATTGATTCGTGATAATTTGAATGACGTTCAAGATTATTATTTCAGTTCGACTACCACATGCCAAGATAAGAATCATTTGACATCTTACTGATGAAGGATATTAGTTATCCGAAATATTTAATATTTGTTCATGATTTTACTATTTTTTGGTGATGTTGTACCATTTTAGACTTGCTTATTATATATCATATTTTGTAGTGTACTGTATCATATTTATATGATCCATCTCCTCGTAAGATTTATCGTTGGCTATTATTCAGACATTTTATATATATAACATTGCATTCATTTCCACATTCAACCCATGTGCTCTTGTTCCTATATTTTCAGTTTTACGTGTAATGCTTATTTCGTTTATTTGTGTTTTCGAAAATTTGGTGTAGCCATGGTTATTTAAGATATTTATCTCTGGACATGAATTTTTGTCTGCCCTGGAATATACTTATATCTTCTACGTGACATTTGCATTGATAGAGGTAATTTTTTCTCATTTATCTTCATGTTCTCTCCCACTATATTTTGTAATAACACTGATAAGCGCCACATTATATTACCCGTAATGTCAACAATACAATAGATTAACCTATTCCGTTGTCTTACATGTAGATCTTAAGACACCAGATTTATTTTCAGATGTGTAAATTTAACGATGCCTTATTCCCTTTTATCGCATGGCGGCGAATGCAAGCATGACAGGACACTCTAACGAAATGACAAAAAAAAATGAACTACTTTACTTACATGTTAAAGTTTGAAAATAAACAAAATTAATCTGTCAAAGGTCCTTTTTATTAGTTCGATGATGTTAACGTTTCAGTCATATTCCTGGCTTTAAAAACTGAAATCGACACTACATAAATTTAATGGTCACCACCAAGAATTTGATGACCGATACGATATGTCGGTGTCACAAATCACTAGAGACTTATTTTTGCAGTCTTACATATTTAGTACAAGGATAGACGTTTAATTTGTAATTTTACGTAAAACTATTGTAACATTTTGACGGATTGTGAATTCGCATGGTGGGTGATTCGTGCATAACAGAAGACGATTAACCTGTGAACACACCCGATATCGCTCCATATTACAATAATTTGTCTTCTCAATCAATTTATGAGATTTGAACATCGGTAAAGTACTGCTGCCTTAATTTAATACTTGTCATCTGGTAAAAATTATCATATTATGAAAAGATTCCAAAATCAGACTATTTTTTAAGAATGTTCAGTTCTGCAAATATTAAAGAAACTTTTAAAAATATATAAATACTCATGCCAGTAAATGTCTTGCAAACATCTGAAGGGTGTTTTTTGATATACATGTATTCATTATTCCTTGATCATCGAACTCTAGGGGCTAAAAGGTGGCCTGTACAACCTTTTCCTATGGACAACTTAAGCAATCTTCGCGCGATGTCATTGAGACACGAATATTTTATCTGCAAAAATAGATCGTCTTGGAATTTTAGTCATTCAAAAAGATGTTGATTTCTCAACAGCTTAGTTTTTTTTATTTTGCGATTTTGAAATTTTTTTTCAAACCTCGAATATTTGTTAGAAATTTTACATAACACTTAATATTTTAGGCTGGATTGAACCAATGTTGGATAGGATAGCCAAAAACTGGACAATCGTTGTTACACCTGTCATTGATGTTATTAACGATGAAACATTTGGCTTCCAGTACCAAGATGCAAAAGCTACTAATGTCGGGGGATTTGATTGGAATATGGTTTTCACGTGGCATGGTATACCTGAAGAAGAAAGGAAACGAAGAAATTACGAAGATCATACACCGGTTAGGTAACAGAAATAATAAAAGCCTTTATGAACTCAACATTATGTTTAAGAATATGTTTAAGAATATCTTAAACGGTATTTTTTTTTTCCTTTTAACACCCATGCTTCAAATTCGACAAGCATTTGCATACATAATATTATTAATTTTCGTGAGAACAAATTTCATGTTTTGTTTAGTTCCAATCCCTTCTTCTAGGGTACACAATACATAAAAAAGTATATACCAGGCATTAATTTGACTAATAGAGGTACATGTACCAAGACTATAATTAAGGTTCTCCGAAAATACAAATAGTATCATTACTGATATTTTATAGTTTCCTGATATGTTTTGCATCCTTGAACTGAATTTATTGTCTCCCTTTATTGACGTAGAGTTAATATGAAGTGCCTCGGTGGCCGAGTAGTTTAAGTAGTCCAACTTCTGTATCACTAGCCTGTCGACACTGAGGTTGTGAGTTCGAGTCCCGTTTGTGGCAGGTGCGTTCGACTCCAATCTTAATTGACTAGGATTGTCAGTTTTCTTATATACCGAAGGACGGTATTTCTCTCCTGGCACTACGGCTTCCTCCACCAATAAAAACTGGCCGCTCCAAAATAGTTAACAGTGCAAGCACTGTATAGCCAGTCAAGGTCGTTAAAAACTTCCATTTGTTGTTTGTATTTAACAGTGCTAATAGTGGCGTTTAACACCATTCAATCAATCAATCAATCAATCAATCGAGTTAATATGAAGAGTGACGTTGACAGTTACAAAACGTTACTACCTATTTTATTTTCGAATTGATGGAGATTTTAATACTCAAAATAATACTAAGAATGTTTACGTGTGACTTTGGAGTGGATGGTTGGGGGTGGGGGGATGGGCGTCCCTGCGACCTGACGTCTCATGTAAAACGACATGTGACCTGTGTCCTTAAAACATGTTCAAAATCTTACTTACTTAAAATTGCTTACAATTTACCTGGTGACCATAGCCATTTTTTAAAAGCGGTCATGTGACCTAAGGGGTTACTCAATTGAAGGCTTTTACATGTTTACAATGTAATACGCAAACCCTTAGTATGTTCCTTTATAGGTCAGAAATGAAAAGGTATGTTGACTTACAATCAAAACGTCTAATCAACAAAATTTAAATTTTATCCAAATTTTATGAAATGAAATTAACAACTGTGGTATGTAAAGCAAATGTAAAAAAACAGACACAATCACACGCTTAAAAAAATAGTTGAAATGTACATATAGACCTCGAGTAGTTTGTTTTTGTCTGAGATACAAATAAAACATTCTTCATTTTGTAGGTCACCAACAATGGCTGGTGGATTATTTGCAATCAGCCATGCCTACTTTACTTACATTGGCACGTACGATGATGGGATGGATATATGGGGAGGCGAAAATCTAGAAATATCATTTAGAGTATGTTCGGCATTTAATATAGATAGTTTTGCATTTTCATTAATGTCTGTTGTCTTATATGAATCAGGATATTTTTTTTTTAACTTTTTTATTCGAGCGTCACTGACGAGTCTTTTGTAGACGCACAGAATTTTAATCCTGGTATCTTTGATGAGTTTATTTAATAGTTTCATAAAACCAAACCAAACCGAGCAAGTTCCAGAGGCGGATTAAGAAGGGGGTGGGGGGGGGGGAGGGGGTGGGGGATTGGGGCGTAGGCCGCCCCCTTTTATGGAGCTACATTTATGGTTAATCCAGAATTTTTACCTATACCACTCCAACACTCCAAGTTTTGTCTAGTTTGGGGGCAGGTGGGCCCCCTTTTTCAGAATCCTGAATTCGCATCTGAGTTCGTCTAAATAATCGGTTTCAAAAAGAATTGTTAAGTGTTTGATATATGTGCCCAGATTGTAATGCGAAATATTGAATGTTCGATTAGGCACCCTTTTCTATTAACTTAACAGGGTTATTTTTAAAAGTGTATTTTCAAATATTGAATTCGTGTTAATTTATTTATTTTAATGTCCTTTGATGTTTAACACATTGTTGTAAGTTTACATTAATAAATATGTTGAATTTGTATACTATCCTGTTTAATTCACTTTAACTTTTGCATTTAATTAATATTTACCGTGACCGAAATTCCATGAACTTCTTGTACATGTAACTAGGAAATATACACGTATATCTTTCTATATACATTGGCCTTTTTAGTATCACATTATTAATTGGAAAATGATTCTCGAATATGAATATCTCCATTGTATATTACACGTAATATGCTGTTATGTTTGATTTGTAGATATGGATGTGTGGTGGTACGTTAGAAACAACGCCATGTTCTCATGTCGGACATATATTCAGGAAACGGTCCCCTTACAAATGGAGATCAAACGTTAATGTGTTGTTGAAAAATAATGTCCGTTTATGTGAAGTATGGCTTGATGATTATAAAGAATACTATTACGACAGAATAGGCCATAATTTGGTAAATATTATATTTTCACTTTATTTGTGATCCACACTGCCTTAGCGCCTTAAAAGGTTTGCCTTTTGTTCTTATTGTATATCGACATATTTATGAGGAGGAGCATATACTGGGTATCTACAGTAACAGTGTGCATACAAAAAAATATCTGTACCATTTGTATAAATTATTCAAATGACAATTTTGAATTTTCAGTTCACATATTATCTAAATCAGCTTTAAGTAAGGTTACAAATATATTATCTAAATCAGCATAGAGTTACAAGGGACAAGGATGAATTACAGTGATGCGCAAATGATAGCTTTGATCATAGCTATTGAGGTTCTATTTTTCGAAACGCTATGTATTGTAAGCGTTTGGTCTTGATAAAACGAGCATAATTATCTTCATTCTAGAGACACATATATGCAAATTGAAATCGATGTCAAACATTTACCCCTGTGATATAATAAGAAAATTGTTTATTTTAACCTAGTATGTGATTTATATTGATGAGGGTAACATCTGCTACCATTCATTTTGTTTAATATCATTTTATTTAACAATCAACTGATGAGCATTAAGGATGGTCGCTACTCTGTTTTAAAATAACAAGCTTTTTAAAAAAGATTGTTATAAATGGATAGTATATAGGTAAAGGAACAAAAAATGCAGAAAAAAATGAGGGCCCTTAATTGTCCTTGTTTTCAGGATATACATGTAAGCCATTGAAAATAGGCGGGAAATGATTTCTCTAGATTGTTCATACATTTAACATTGGCACCTTTTTTCTTTCAAAAAGTATGAAAAAATAACAAGGATTTTAGAAGATTTTCAAACATGTTTTTTTAAACTATATGCAGTAAAATTACAAAAAGAAAAGAAGGGGTTAACGGGCAAAATTTAAGTGGCACTACAGGATAAAACCAGAGGATTCCGAATATCTGACAGAAAGTCAGAATCAAGACTAGCGAACATCTTTAACTTTAATTTTACTTACTCTCTTTAAAAAAGTCTGCGATTGACAAAAAATTATGTGAAATTCTCACACTGTCACTAATGACATTTTGTCACATAAGGGAGCTACCATGTGATTTTTATTAGGGGGGGGGGGGGGGGGGCTTGAATGAAATTTGAAAAAAAGCAGGACAGGAGTTTTGATTAAAATAAAAGGAGGGATGAGCAATTTGACAGAAGAAAAGCAGGACAGGAGTTTTGAGTAAAAAAAAGGAAGGATGAGCAATTTGGCAAAAAAAAAAGGCTGGATGACAATTTATGTAAAAAAAAGGAAGGATAAACTAATAAAAAAAGCACCCAATAGAGTGAAAAATAAAAAGGCAGAACAGAGATTACAACTAAAAAAAATGCAGGACAAAATTTTTCATCCTAGCCCCTCCCCCATAAAAATCAAATGGTAGCTCCCTAAGCTGATAAATTAATGGTATTAATTGGTATAATATGTCTGCAGGGAGATTATGGTAATATAATATACTAATTGGTATAATATGTTTGCAGGGAGATTATGGTAATATAAGTTCAAGGGTTGAATTACGGAAGAAATTGAAATGCAAAAGTTTTGAATGGTTCCTAAAAAATATTTATCCTGAAATGTGGGTACCAGGTGAATCAATGGCATATGGACAGGTATAGTATATCTAAAATCATAAACTTTCAGAATATGATTTCAGAATTTGCTAGAGAGTATTCAGTGTAATCTTAGATATAAGAGATCAATTTAAAAAGTTTTGGTAGATACGCATAATCATGTATGCGACAATACAATGTTGCTAACTCAAGGAACATGTATATCTGTATGAGTGGTCTGCCAGTCCTTTAATGTCATGCGGTAGTATTGTTTTTTCTACCTTGGCCTCACGGTAACACTCAGTGTTTTTTGTCTTCAAATTTCGCAATTATGTTTACACCAAGAGGCGAATCGAAAAAAACATTTTAATATTATATTTTTATAAATATTATGTACAGACATATGTAATAACTTGATTTTGAATATCATTTCACTGTAAAGTGCTAATATAAAAATAACATGTATAAACGTGTTCCATGCTAACGTGTTTAAAAAGAAGTTTCCACTAGCAGAAAATTTCGTTATGCAGTAACTAACAAATATTCAATATACATGGGCTTTGCTCATTGTTGAAGGCCGTACGGTGACCTATAGTTGTTAATGTCTGTGTCATTTGGTCTCTTGTGGAGAGTTGTCTCATTGACAATCATACCACATCTTCTTATTTTTATATGGCGAACGTATTCATTCATTTTTTTGTTTCAAAACAAGTTTGAAACCATGTAAGATAATTCAATAAAAGTAAAGATGTGAATGAGTTTTTATCTTATTTGTTCTTTAATATTATTGCACGGAAACGTCTTTTCAGGCTTGTTATATGTTTGCACACTTTCCTGTTTTATATAATTATAGGCACGATCAATCTCACTAGGTAACGGTTTAGCACATTTTTTTTTGTATATTCTTAATAAAAAATACGGCCTCATTTATGTTTTTGAACGTTTGTCAGCAATGTGCAAATGCTTAATTGGTATTTACATATTCACATTATGGCTCATCTGACAAACATTTTGAACGTAAAGTTATAAGTGATACACTAGACGAAGTGACAGTGCATTTCTTCAAACTTCTCTTATTTAAAAAAAAACGGATATGAATCGATCAGCGGATATTGACAGATCCATTGTAGATTATGCATTGATGTGGGTATTGTTAACGTATATGACAAATCTGTGTCAAGGGTTTCCATGAGTGTCTATAAATAAAAGAAAACATTGGTAAACACCAATATGGCAGTAACCCAAAGACACAAATACAAATGAATCAGCCACAACACAAATATAAATCTTCTACAAAATACAAGTAACTACATTATATGTGAAGCTCCTAATCGCCTCGAGTCAACGAATTCAAAATTAGAAATGAAATATACAGAAACTTTAAAGAGGTCCGTATATCGCCTTTTGATAAACTGTATCTCTGCCCCTACCCACAATACTCTCTTTTTCCCGGTGGTATTAAAAAATGCCCGCATTTTGTCGTGATAGAGTTTGCCTTTTGAACGTTTTTGATTTGAGCGTCACTGATGAGTCCTTGGTAGCCAAAACGTGCGTCTGGTGTACAATTTTTTAATCCAGTTATCTATGATGAGTTTATTGATTCAGACACGTACATTGCAGAACTTACCTTATTATAAATTAGTATTTATGCTCTAACTTTGAAAGTTCCTGAGGCCTGATATACAGAAGTAAATCATCTCACTGTATTCTGTTCTCCTGTACTGTAACATCTTCAGAGCAACTAAAGACAATGTTCCTTACCACACAGTTTCTATTTACTATAATCCTTATAAATGGCAACACCTACAATGTAACACACATATATTCATGTATATATAGAAAGAGTGACAACTTAAACCAAATGCACATAGTTATTTACGATCAGATAATTTATCCATGAGCAATATTTGTACACTTTTAATTCAAACTGCATAAAGAAAATGCTCAGAACAACATTAAGTTTGATAGCTTAAATCGTTGCAAAATCTAATCAAAGTAATCGTTATTAGAAAAATGAAATTGTGTAATGGTATTTTCAGATAGCAGCAAAGACTGGACCTTACTGCCTATCAGGCCATTGTGATTATGGACAAACAGGGAAGCCCCTTTCAATGAAAAATTGTTCAATCGCACCCGATGTAAGATGGATAGTCATTTTTATGTCATTATTTGAGCTGCGTCGGATAAAAATCGACCTTATGCAAGTGCACGTATACATATACATGTATAGATTTTGATTGATTTTAGAACAATCAAATACGGAAAAAAAGATGAATTTTGGTCTGTTTTGTAGGGTTCTTATATCAAATCAATTTTCAAACAGTTGAAGACTTTTTTTTCAACCAAAAATAGCTTCAATACTAGTAGACATATTAATATTCATTTACATAAGGTCGATTTCTATCCGACGCAGCTCATTTCTTACCATTATTATTTTTTGTAAAATTTGCTAATTTTTGCTTCATGTTATCTATTTCTTGCTTTAAATTAAATTTAAGTGAATAGTTAATGCGAATTAATTGACGTGATATAGGGATAAGGAACACTCTCTTATTATTTGAAATGACTGATTTGTTGTAAATGCAGATCTGAAAAAGAGTTTTTATACATAAGTGTATCATGATGACTCATAGATCTAGTTAGCGAATTGTTTCAGTTGAAAGACTTCCACAAACATACGGCCGTTGCACTTCATGAAAACTAAACTTGGCCGGACAATACTGTAATGCCTGCAGATATGGCTTCTGGGGACATTAATATATAGTCATAATTAACAGATGTAGTTTGCAACATGGCCAATGCCATGAGTGGAACTGGCAATGCTTCCCAAAGCGCACGCGTTCCCTAATGCTTTATTTGTCAATTTTTTGTGTGTAAAGATCAGACAACAAATCTGAGAAATTGATTGATTGTTGGTTGGTTAACGTCCAGTGGCAAATATATCATGAATGTTCAGGACGAGCTGAGAAATTGAATAACCAAATTCAAAAGACAACAAAATATTTTCTCAGATATTTAGAATTTTTTTATTTATATATTTTAGCTATGGTATTTGACTACAGCCAAAGAAATACGACGGGACTATGGTTGTTTTGATTACAGTGGTAACATTGATATACAAGTGCAATCGTGTCACCAGATGGGAGGTAACCAGGCATGGGAGTTTCGAGAGGTATCAATTTAAATTTTGCCGTTTTTGGTTTTAACCCTTCCGATTAATTTAGATTCAATTACAAGTATTCTTTTATTAACCATGAAATTGTTTTATTATCGTGGGGTTGCTGATTGAATGACGTATATGCAACACTACTTACTATTCATAAGTAAACCGCTGTTCCTGTAATTTTTGTGTGTTTTTTAAATTACTGCGCATGTACTGGTTTTGAGTCACGGAGGGATATCCCATATCCTATGTTTTTCTATTATCAAACTTTTCCGCTAAGAACGCGACATTAATGAGAACAAAGACTCGGAGTTCTGATAATGTGTCTTGTATGGTGACATGTCTTTCTACGGACTGTTGACATGTGAACTAGCACGTTTAAAATCCGGTTTAATCGAAGCCGGGTTCATATTCATATCGCATTAACATATTTTCATCCTGAATATGCATTTGGTTTGTTAATTAATTTTTGTAATCTTCAACGTCATCGTCGTCGTCCCCCTCCTCCTCCTCCCCCTCCTCATCCTCATCTATTGCTAAAAATAATAAGGTAAGGAACCTTCTAATAATGTAGAAGTATTAAGATAAAATTCAAAAGTAGAAAAAATAATTGATAGAAAGAACATGTCAGCTTTATTGTAAGAATATTAGCTACCATTAGATTTTTATGGGGGGGGGGGGGGGGATTTGAAAAAAGGCAGGACAGGAGTTTTGAGTAAAAAAAAAAAGGCAGGATGAGCAACTTGGCAAAAAAAATGGCAGGATGACAATTTATGTAAAAAAAGTAAGAATAAACTAATAAAAAAAGGCAGGACCGAATAGAGGGAAAAATAAAAAGGCAGGACAGAGATTACAACTAGAAAAAATGCAGGACAAAATTTTTCATCCTAGTCCCCATAAAAATTTAATGGTAGCTCTCTAATATAGATACGTTAATTCTAGCTTCATAATAGTTTTAGATTTAGCTCTATCACATACCCTACCCCAAAAAGAATCATTTACAAAAAGCATAACGATAAATAGGTTTGATTATTTCAATTTTCAAAAAAATCAAAGTTACACATGTTGTAAGCACAGAAATATTACAGTTTTATTTGAGAAAAGAAGCGTTTTTACAACTTTCGTGGCGCTTTGCTTTTCGTCCTGTTTCTAAAGCTCTTACAATTGAATTTTATATTTCCAACAATGTACATACATTGCATATTAAATATCAATTGTGCTGTACAAATATATGGTTTTTTTTCTAATTTTATTTGTCTTTTATTTAGGATAATACACTATATCACGTGATGTCAAAGAAGTGCCTTGAAATATCACAAGATGGACAAAAATTATTTATGAACACCTGTTTGGGAACAGATTATCAAATTTGGCTTTGGAATAGAAGTAGGCCTAAAGGAGCAACAAGGAACTGGAATTCAAGAGATTAATTTCCTAGAATAACATGTTAAATATTCAAGTGACATGCAGCTTAATAATATAACAGAGATATATATATATATAGTGTTGTGATATCATTATTAACCTACAAATTACATGTAACATGGAATCTAATGGAATCTCCATTGTATAACTGTCCATATTCGGGAAACCATTTATATTATTGTATTACTCAGAATTGTTTTAAAACGATCATATCAAGTGCATGCACTGCAGTTTGGGAGTTAATGTTGATTTTAGAAAGATGTACATCATCTCTATCTCTTCAAATTGTGATGTGCTACAACGGTGTGCACCATCTCTTTGTAATTTGTTCACAAAGGTGTAGACCACCTCTTGTGATTTGTTCACAAAAGTGTACACCATTTCCTTGTTATTTGTTCACAATGGTAAATGCCAGCTCTTTTTTTTTTGATTATTTACAAATGTGTGCACCATTCCTTTGTTATTTGTTTACAAAGGTGGGGACTACACTTTTGTGATTGGTTTACAAAGATACGCAAGATCCCCTTGAGATTGGTTTACACAGGTGTGCACCATTTGTTTTTTAACGGTTTTCAAAAGTGTCTAATCTTTGTGATTTGTAAACAAAGGTGTACACCACCTCATTGTGACTGGTTTACAGAAGTGTACACCATCTCCTTTTTGTTTGCTTACAAAGATGTTGAGCATCATTCAGTGATTTGTTTTCAAAGGTGTGAACCATCTCTTTGTGATTTGTATACAACGTCCCTTTTAGTACCCATTGAACAAACGGCGTCGAGTTGCTTTTGATTTATTGTATAATCCAAGAAAGCGATAGCTGTCTTATGAATTCCGAAAAGAACATTACACAAAATTAAAATATCATTTCTGAAGTGATGACAGTAAAATCAAAATAACAACTTTGTACTTAATTCAAAACCTATCAAATATCTTATAACAATACCAAATCAAATGGATTAGTTAGTTTGAATTCACGGTTTTCTACTCATTTTCTACTCTGTATACAAGTGAGAGAGTGTCTTAATGTTTGTAAAAGTGTGTTCATGTTGTTTGTTTTTGTAATTGTCTTTATGTTTTGTTGTTCCATGTTAAAGTTAAGAAAAACCATATATGTTTATCATTAAATCATGTTATCTATTAAATTATTTTGGACTGTTTTATGTGTTTTATGCATTTTGTACAGAAGTCTCGATTTCATCTAGTGTACTAAAATTGAGGTTGCATCTCTTAAGGATTTTTAAAAAAATTTTCCTTTCTTGACGGTGATGTTCCTTTGGCACCCTATTCATGGATATTGTTAAATTTGTTCGCTATCCCTCATGTCTTGAGCGCTCACAAACATGTTTAACCCCGCCAAATTCTTAATGTGCCTGTCACAAGTCAGGAGCCTGTAGTTCAGTGGTTGTTGTTGGCTCATGTCTGTCATATTTGGTTTTCGTGAATTGTTTTGTTATAAATTATGAAGTTAGTTTTCTCAATTGAATTGTCTCATATTTTTCATGTCGGGGCCTTTTATAGCCGACTATACGGTATGGGTTTTCTAATTGTTGAAGGCCGTACGGCTGCCTATAATTGCTTACATCCACTTTATTTGAACTTTCATTGGTGGATAGTTGTCTCATTGGCAATCATGCATATCTCATTTCCTTATTGTTATAGTAAAGTATGTTTGACTGGTAAATTATTCAGGCAGAGATTTCGGTACCACAAATAACTTAAAGCCTATGTTTAATCTTTCATACGTAAAAAGAATTGGTTTGGATGTTTTGAACAGTAATGTATCTGTAAAAACCTGAATGCATCAGCATTTTTACGGGGATATTTATAATGCTCTGCAATTGAGATTCGTTCAATGTAAACAAAATAATCATTGAAAAACGTGTTATAAAATGTTATTCAAATAACATTGGTACGGTAGTGCAATCTTTAAATATTGTCTTTTTCGGTAATGTCATTGATATTTTTTGAATGAACACTTATGGTCCTACATTGGTACTTATATTTGGCATTTCACAAGTACATACAAATAAGGAGATGTAGTATTATTGCCAATGATCGAGACAACTACTTTAACTTTTATACCATAGGCTCAGGTAGAGGGGACGGTTGAGCGCTCACAAACATGTTTAATCCCGCCACATTCTGTATATTTCTGTTCTAACAGGTCTAGGCCAGGACCATGTTTTTTTTTGTTTTTTGTTTAGCATATTTTTGGCCTATGTGTTCTCTGTCGAATTATTTAAAATTTGGTCATCCTTTGGACTTTCGTAACTTACTGTATTGTATAGAGTTTTTTCGTTGCTGAAGGCTGTACGATAACTTGTAGTTGTTACATGCCCTTTCACTTAAGACACTATAAAATTACATGAACCTGACTGCTTTACTATCAAGAAAGATTGAACCGAAAAAGGAGACGTAGTATGCACGATAAATCACCATACGGGCTTCAACAAAGAACAAGACGCCTACACCTGATTTATAATGACAAAACAATAATCGAAGATCAAAATTAAATATGACTCGTAACGACAACCACTGAATTACAGGTCCCTGACTTGGGACAAGCACATAAGAATGTAATGGGGTTAAACATGCTTGATATTTAGTAAATATCGTCCTAAATTCACGGTAGGTACAGTGTCCGGCTAGGATCGTGGTTTTTCGAGTGAATCGGTTCACTTTTTTTGGAGTGTAGATCGGGTTTTTTCGAGTGATAAAACATGCGATAAGGTCAATTAACTGCCATTTCGTAATTATAATAGTTTTTTATATGACTACCCATTTTATTTTGAATACTTAACATGTTTTGAACAACAAAGAAGCACAATTTCCTTATATTTTTAAATAAAACCAAAAAAATCAGTGTTTGATATTGTCCGGATTTTTTCGAGAGCAACTGTGAAACCTTCAGGGTTTTTCATCAAATGATTCTGGTTTTTTAAAGAAAATTTGAAAAAGAAAAAGGTATTCTTGACTTTAAAAAATTACTTTTTCTTGTTTATAACTGAAATTAAGTGAAGGACAATCTCATATTGTAATTGATTCGTCCGCATTGTTTGGCAGTATGTGTCCCTCCCCTTTTCATTTTTATCAACAGTTCGACCTCCGTTTAAGAGCATTGGATACTTATAGAAATTGTCAGATATGTTTCCTTTTATTAAAATAAGTTATCTTAGATATTTGATATTTGAACACATTTTTTTATAGACAGTAACTTGAGCAAAGATAAAAATAACGTTTGGTCCCATCTGAAACTGAGTCGATTTTGCATTTATTTTTTGTGTAGTGTAAATCCGGGATTTCAGTATTCTTAACCTACCTTTATATGTCTTTCTACATTGGCTAGAGGTATAGGGGGAGGATTGAGATCTCAAAAAAACATGTTTAACCCCGCCGCATTTTTGCGCCTGTCCCAAGTCAGGAGCCTCTGGCCTTTGTTAGTCTTATATCATTTTTAATTTTAGTTTCTTGTGTATAATTTGGAGTTTAGTATGACGTCCATTATCACTGAACTAGTATACATATTTGTTTAGGGGCCAGCTGAAGGACGCCTCCAGGTGCGGGAGTTTCTCGCTGCATTGAAGACCCATTGGTAGCCTTCGGCTGTTGTCTGCTCTATGGTCGGGTTGTTGTCTCTTTGACACATTCCCCATTTCCATTCTCAATTTTACTTTATATACATGTATTTGTTGATGATTGTATTATGTTATTTTAATCTATATATATATATATGTAATTATATTCAGTGTATTAGTTAACCTGGTCAAGTTTCTAGGGATTCAAAGTCTCTCTTTTTCTGTGTAATGTCCTCAATGTTTACACGAGTCGCTTATCATAAACCAGTCTAAGTGCACTGTTGTGAACGGCGATATTACGTCTAAATAGAGTGTTTTGAGTCGCTTTTGACGTCAATTTGAAGTCTTTCGAGTCTCTTTCATTGTATATATATTGAACTGCTATTGAAAGTGTTGGTTGTGATCGGACTACCGTGGCAAAAGGTTGCTTATAACCAAAAGCCTGAGTATTAAAATCCTTTCGTCACTGTAGCTAACAATTTAAGCTTGCAATTTAAAAGGTTAGGGAATATTTTCTCAGAGTTTTATTTATACAAACATAGGTTTGTAAGTTTTCATATTTATAAGAAATTCTAACGATTAGATGTACAGATTATATACTGAAAAGTACACCAAAAGTCGGAAAGATAAGATATTAAAAATTTTCATATTTTACAGAGACTCAGCGACACAGACTCGAGTCTTAAAGTCGCTATTCAAATAAGACATCAACATAGTTTTTCTTCAAAGAAAATTATAGTCAAAGTGATTCTTATATTGTTCACTTGAAATGCCAAAAGTATAGTAATTATTATTATTAATTTCCAACGATTTTTTACATATATTACGAAGTTGAATCTCCACAAAAGTACAGTAAAATCAGGAGTCGCAACTTGAACATTTGAAAAGTCGACATAGCTTATATAACAAGTTTGAGCTTTCTAAAAAGCTGTGGACTGCTTCGCTCTATCCTAATTTAAGGTAATGTGAGTGCATGTGGTTGTTGATTTAGTATTGGAAACGCGGTATATTTAGATATTAATTGATATAAAATGGATTTACGTTAAGAGTGTGCGTTATACACCCATGCTTTTAAAAATTTTTTCACTTTACTTGTTGAAAATTAAATCATTTACAAATAGACACGGCTCTGGATGTGTACCTCGATTGGCAGAAGTTATAAAATACAGATAATGCATTTTTGTAAACATTGTATAGGAAACACTGTTTAGAAAAACAAATCGTGCATATTTCAGATTAACAAAGCAAATAAACACGTATTAATAATTGATATTTCAATATTGAATTTCAGTGTGCAATATATGCATAATAAAATGAAGATGAATTAATGACAGTTGATCGGAACTGAAATACACATAGTTATTTTTCCGGCATTTGATGTCTTATCCTGAGACGAGAAAAGTCTGTAATTCTTTAACTCATTTAAGCCAATAGCTGAAGCTGTGTCTTAGCCGCATCATAAAGCAACCAATCAGAATCATTACGTGATAAGTAATTATTTCAAGATGTCGTGTGTGTCGACTGAAATTAATAGCTCCGCACCGTGATGCGAAACAATTATATCTATAATACTTCATTAAATCATTAACTTGATACGAATTGTAATGTCTACTGAAACAACGCATCTTTAATTATATCACTTGGATTACGGATTTGAGTTGACCCAAAGGAGCAGTCATTGGAAAGAGTATCTATTGTGGATAATAAGTTTGTCTGACGGAATGTATAGTTTTGCCTGTGGGTCGTAGTTTCACTTAAGGGTATCAGGAAAACGCTATAGCAACACAGAGCGAAAACGTTACAATATATTCCTAATAAATCACCAAAAGATATTACTACGTTGATCAAAATTAACCTTTTTCAATTAAATGCAAATTTTCTGTTCCGGAAAACGTTTTACCACAACTTTCCAGTGTAAAATTAGAAATCACTGGATCCTTTATAAAACGGTCTTTAGAACATAGTGCAGGGGACTAATAATCTGTTCAACTTCATTTCATGCTACCTTTTGTTTTTACAGTTAATAATATTTCTTGTGGTGAACACCGGGTTTTTTAAGAAAAGGAGTAAGAAACCTAATGGACAGCAGCGAAGAATCAGAAAAATGCTATATAATAAAAAATATTCCACTAAAAGAGGCCTTCCTCCCGCCCCCACTAAAAAAATCCATATATAAAAAAAACCTCACACACATTTAATCCGCCCCATTTTTATTCTCATTGACAATACAATTTGAATTAAATTTCATATATTATTAACAATGAAATGAATACTTCATCAGCTTAACACACTATATATATATGTACGTCTCAATCTAAATTGTCTATGCTTACATTAGATTGTTGACATCACGAATATATACTGTACATTTAATTCATAAGATGTGACAAACAATATATACAAATGAACGATACTTGTTTATAAAATGTAAGTGTTAGTACACCATTATCAAACTGATGAATGCATTTGTTTCGAGTCTTGAAAAGTACTTAATTTGAACCTTTTTTTACTGTTTTTAAACGCAAATACACTGACATATAACATTTTAAGCTATAGGAAATTTGTATAATCACTCGATAAAA